TGTAAATTTTCACATGCTAGTACTAATGCCGGGTGGCCTGGGAAAGAAGAGGGCCCCCTTAAAACAAAACAGACTCAAGTTCAAAGGTCAGTCCTTCACAGAAGCTTTTACAGGCGCCCCTGGAATCATGGCTCAGTGGGCAGCAGCCCAGCTGGTGCATCAAATCAACAAGGTTGCAAGAGGCTGTTCGAACAGTGTGAGCATGGGTTTGTATTGAACTTCAGCTGAAAAGTCTCAGCCTAAATGAATTTGGGTATTTCCTTCCTTTTCTTTTCTTTTTTAATTCTAAATTTTAAAATTTTATTAACCATTATCAAAGAGATAATACAAAGTTACAGAAAAAGACGTAGCCCACCTTACCTCAAAACTCAAGCTTACAAAGCTCTCTCTCAAGTCTCACCGACTCAAACCCTCCCAAAGCAACCAAAACCCAAGCTTACAGGGATCTTCCCTTCCATGTCCTCCACACAAATTTCAGCCTGAAAAGCCCTGACACGTTTCCTTGTTCTTTTCCATTTTCCATGTCCACAGACACAAACTTGGCCTTTTCACTATGACAATCTCCAAATAGTAAACAGGTCAAACTTTGGAGCAGTTGACATAATCACCATGCTCAGTTTCTGGTTCTGACAATTACCCCATCAAAGAATGGGCTTGGGCTGCCTTCAACAACTCCAAGCTGAGACTTGAACAAGATAGTGGGCCCTCCTTGGGCTTGATTTTTTTTTCAGAAAATGGTGCATGTGGTGGACCAGGTAGGTGACCAATAATGAAGAAGTGCTCCAAATTTGAAGTTTCAATTTGCTACAGTTTTCTTATGGGCCAACCACTCTCACAAATAGGAAATCTAGCAGTTCCAAGGTTGGACTTTTCTATGAATAGGGCCCAGTAGAAAATCATACAAGCAGAAAGAACTGAACAGAAGAAGCATCAGGCATCTTCTTGAGCTGAGATGGTAAACGAAAAGGCTTCACGTGTTGGCCCTATAACCCTCCACTTCTCTAGGAAGTTTTTAGCCCAATAGCCCATAAGGGGCAACCTGCTTAGTTCTGAGTTTCTGACACTACTCATATTTGAAGTGTTGCAATGACAGAGGCTGTCTCCTACTCCCAGTCCCTCAGTTTGGCAGGTGGAGGCCAAACCGCGTTTACGGATGTTCTGGGCCTTGCCCGGCCCATTTTGATCCAGATCTCAAGGCCCGGTCAAATGCATGTACTCAAAGTATACTATTGCGTTTTTTTTTTTTGAATTTAAAGATAGAGTAGGGTTATAGCATTAAAGTCTGATTCTCCATCCAACAAAATACGTTCCAACATGATCCGGTACCGCACATATGATGGATCTCGATTTCATGGTGTGTGGGATCATGTTGGAACGTATTGTGTTGGCAGGAGATTCCAATTCCCAACTTGAACTTTATTACAGCAGCTTGATAAGCGGGAGAAAAAGGAAATGTTGTAGCACTTTGGTCTGTACTCTAGTAAACATTTTATGTAATCATTTGGTTTAAATACTTCCCCCCCACAAGGCCATAACATTATGTTTTCCTAAAACAGTTTTTTTTTTTCCTGTTTGTTTTTTGTACTTCTCTCCAAGTATCATTGCTGCTAACAGCTTTGATTTATTGATTTTCAGAACAAACCAGAGAGAGAGAGAGGGAATCCATTTTGGGTTTGGCTTCCACTTAAAGCTTCTGCACATTAAGGGGAAAACTAAAAAGCAGAGAAATTTTGTTTTTGTTGCATGCACCGTACACCACAAATCTGGAATGTAATGTGTAGAAACACCTTTCCAGATATGTGGTGCACTGTGCATTTGTAAAGCATACAATGCAATAAATTTGTCTGTTTGGCATGCAACAAAAGTAAAAAAGCATTTATTTTGGTCGGGCCAGGCCTGGTGCAACCTTCTTAGAGGATAGAACTATAGAAGAAGTGTGTATTAACTAACTATTAACGTATTTGATCCGTTCTTGACCCAATGAACGAGTGAACACGCCGGTGCTCACTGTGGGCCCCATCTGTACTGAACACTGGCGTGTTCAACTGTGATAGATAACTCAACCTGGTGTGTATGAATTATGATGTTGTTTCCAGCTCATCCGGATTCTTCTCTGAGATGGTAAGAAAAGTCATAGTCTCATAGATCGATACAACCTCACTAACCACCCGGGGTTCACTGATAACCTCATTGGAAATATCTCAGATCAGAGGAGAACACCCACGTGATGGGCCCAAGCCCAGTCAGAATCCTCGAGAAACTTGGAGGCCCGAGGCCCCGAGCCTAGACCAGCCAAATGAGCCCAATAGCAAGAGAGGCCGCCTTCCAAACTGGTCCAAGAAGCAAGGCCCATTATGATGGTAACGCCAATCTTTGTTTTCTTCAGATTTCTGCAATCAATTTGTTTCCCTCTAAGTGCAAGACACCCTAAAACTATGACCCATTTACAGAAATTAAAGAAGAATGAAAATAGGTAACTCATGAGAGCTGGGTGGGTGGGGCCGTGGGGGTTGTAATTTGTAAAGGTGTTTGTTTGGCTCCTGAGCTCAAACTGTGCAAATTTGTAGGTTTACTGATCTGAAATAACGCAGAGGAGAAAACGATGAGTTTGAAGCCAAATAGCATTTGTAATTTGTAAATGAGTGGACTGGACGTCTTTATCCAAGACAAATTTCCACTTTATAAATGACCACCTGTATAACACAGAAGCAGTAGGTGTAGGATTCTATGAGGCAATGAGGTTTAACTGCAAAAATCATGGCCATAATTAATGGGGCCTACCGGCCTAAATATATGTTTTGCCATTTCATCATCTTTCTTTCCATTTGGCAATTTAAGCCACATCATCCCAATATCGTCTGGTTCCCCTGAAGGATCAGGATCGGGATACCTATATATACTTTTCCCGGTTCCTGAGTCTACATTGAAGATGCTTTTTCTTTTTCTCTAAGAAGATATCTTTAAAACAACAACAACGAACAGAGTGAAAGACACCACCACTAGAAGATGAAACATGACAAGACTCAACATTCATTTACTCCAACAGTGGAGTGATTTCCTCGAAGCAAAAATCTTGTTAATTTAACATACAATTAAGGGGGTTCCTTTTTTTGGATTTTGAGAGGGGGAAAAGTTAGTCAATGGGATTTTGGTTCCCATTGATCAAGAAACCCATGTTCATTTTTCAGATTTATGTGGGGACCAGTGAAAGTTTATTTTCCTGGGTATCATCCATCTTCTAGGTGCGTAAATTAACTTTCCCATCTAGGGGAAAGTTTCCAATACTTGGATGGGACAAAAATGCCCCTTTTAATAATGGAATTTTTATGACTAAGATGGTCATTTCCTTATTTATATGGGAAATAAAAAAACATGGGTAAATGCACTTACCTGGATAAGTCTTTCCTGGTAAACACTTACCTAGATAAGTGCATTTACCCGAATAAGTGACTTACCGAAAAACAAACAGGGAATAAGAGATATTTCGAATGTATGGTTGGACTTCATATCCCTGCACATCATTCCTCCCAGATGCATAAGGGTCAGGTAGGGATATATGGTGAGCACATTGAGTAAGCACTTCTGCACTTGGAAAATTTTTATAACACTTGTTCCTTAAGGTTGTGTTTGGATTGAAGGAAAAAGTAGGGAAACCTTTACAAAACTTGTATAAGTTTCCCTTCCTTTTCCTTCAAACCAAACATAGCCTAAAATACCCCTAGCCTGCCTTTGAAAACAACTTTTGATACAGTTGTCAAAAAATTACAAAGACCCCCCATTGATCATTCTCAATGGTGATCTTCCTCTGTGAATTTTGAAAACCTGACCGTATGTTTCCAAAAAAATATGTGGAATTCCAACAACTGTATACAAGAAATGACCTGTATCGTATGCTCATGAAGTGTCTACAAAAAAATTAAGCACTTAACCACTGTCAACAAAAAATTTCAACAACCTGACCCTATGTGCTTCTATGTCGGATTGGGTGATATTCCAGCCTGTATCGTATGTTCATGAAAATAAACAAAAAAGGGTCCAATTGACCCATAAGTTCTTCCACCATTTCATCATTCCAGCCCAATGAATATCAATGGCTACACCCTTGTCCAAATTTTGATGAACTCTATAGGATGCTTTCTGCACCATTGGAGAAAAACTAATGTTAGGGAATGATTATGTTTTCAGATAACTCACCATATAAATCCAACAAACATGATATACTAACAAATCAGTACATCACACCTAAGGAAGATACTAAACTATAAAACAAATCAGAATATGATTTACTGGCACATTAAACTTGATTATCAAAGGAACTGAATGACAAGCGGTTTGAATAACCTCCCTACTTAAGAAACTTCAAAAGATCAGCCATAGAACTGCTTTTGTATTACTTTGTTCATCAGTAAATTTATCAGTTGATTATCAAACCATTATATGTTTGCTTGGGCTTTAGAGGGTGCAAAAATGTATAATTTCAATGAGTTAGATACTGTTCAATACCCCTCAATCTGGACATCTCATGACTCAACTGATGCCCATGTCCATAACAGGTCTACTGCTATACATTGGGCTTGAGTGTTGAGGTTTGAGTACCAAGGACTTTTGCAGTGATTGTAAAGCCATGCTTAAGACAGTCAACATTCAATTGATGTTGGACTTGGTTCATGTTTATGGTCTCAGTTATAGGTTGGCCTGGTACAGTAATCAAATGTATAGATTATTTGAATGAACCATACTATTGAACATAGAATAATGGAATATTGGTTTTGTATCTCAATTTCATATGCACCTAAGACATTAAACAATAATCAAATCTAATTTTTAAGATAATAATTCATTTCAATTTAGATGGTTCCTGCCACTTGATATTCAACATGAAATGTATTTTTCTTTTCATTTCAATTCGGATGAAAGATTCACTACCATGGATGGGAATGATGTATCTGCTGACCATGTGATTGCAGAACTGATTGAGATGGGATTTGACTTTTGTAAAGTTAGAGAATCAAATGCTTGGGCTTTATTTTATTTATTAACTCAAATGCGAATCTGAACAAGTACAAGGAATAAAAGGAGCTGGGAGAGGTTTTGGAGTAACACAAATGCTAGTTGTTATAAACAACAGCGTGGTACAAAGACATAAACGGGTATACAAGAGGAACATAGAAGGGAGGAGAAAAATGCTCACAGATTGAGGTGGGGCTTCAACACTTGTATATTTTAATGACACTGCATATAATGACAATGATACAATAGCTCAGACAAACATAATAATTTGGGAAGGGGATTGGACTTCTTTTCACCATTGCCTTGATTTATATTTTCAGCTTTTCAATCATATTTACATAAAGCTCTGAATCCTTCCTGCTGTAGTATGACTGTAGGTTCTTTAGTCGTTGCTGCTGCTGTACCACCTCCCTGCTCATATGCACATAGGAATACTTTGAAATTACCAAGAAGCACTTCATGCATGAATATGAAAAAAAATAATAATAATGAATACAAACCCATTGCTAGGATCAATTTCAAGTGCCTTCTTCAAGTCCAATTCTGCTAGGTCCAGGTCAAGTGTCTCCATATATGCTTGTGCTCTCCGGAAAAGAGCTTTAACATTGTTTGGTTCTAGCTTTAATACCTGTATTGGAGAGGAGAATCATAAAGATAACACTCAAAATAAATTCATAAGCTGAACGTGTCAACTTTGGTCAAGCCTCATCTGTTGAGTTGCCTTGATGATATTAATTAAACATATTGAAAGGTGACATTAATTAGGACAATGGCAATGTTCTAGCATTTGAAATTCCCTTGATGTTGAAACAGAAGGCAGTAAAATCACAAGTTCACCTTTGAGCAAAGGTTAGCAGCTTCTCTATACTCCTTTAACTTGAGTTTGCAAGCTGCATTATTCAGATGGCAAGAGACTTTGAAAAACTTTCCTGTTTTCTTCTGCTCATCAGTGAAAGTGCTATCAAACTCCACATATTTTGCTGCCTGATCAAAGAAATTGTGAGTAGAAATGTCAGCACCTTTATCTTACCAGATAGGTCGTGTATGAGTCATCATAGTATGGTCCACTATATAGATAAGTGGTGACATAACCAACATCTTATTCAGTTGGCTTTATGTGAACAACATAAAAGAATGGAAAATTTTGAAGCGCAGAAGATTTTGTGTGTGTGTGTGTGTGTGAAAGATAGAGAGAGAGAGAGAGAGAGAGAGATTGGTTAAGAGGGTCTCAAGTGTGAACAGAAGAACAAGCTTACCATGTCATATCTCAATGAAGCTCGCTGGTACTTTCCTTGCTTGAAATAAGCATTTCCTTCTTCTTTCCTTTTGGCTGCATACACAAGCTTTTCTTCTGGCTCCATGTCCCATGACTCAGTTACCTGGATATATACAATGCAAGTTGATGCAATTAAAGGAAATGTTTGAAAAAAAAGGAAAGTTTAGTTATAACTACCATCATACTTGAATTTTTCTAGTACACTGGGCAGATGCTAAGTTTATTTTAGCTACCATAAATTTCTGATTTTCTAGTAAACAGCTTAGCTGCTAAGTTTGGTATGGTCCCTACTAGCCGACCTGATCAACCAATTCATTGTCTCATTTATGGTGTTCACTCATAGCTCACTTGGGACTGCCAGAACCCAAAAACCATGAGGATTTCCTGGAAACAAATATCTTAAAGGTTGAAATTAACTCCCACCTTTGTAAATCCAACAACCTCAACTTCATAGTACAAAGTTGACTTTGCAGGTACAACAGCCAAATCTGTCTTTGTTTGATTATTCCCAAAACCATACTCGTGATCAATAATGATAAGTGCAACCTCTCCTCGTTTCATGGTGGCAACTGCCAAGTCTAAACCTTCAATGACTTGTTCTGCACAAACATGTTTACTTCTTAAGTATAGGAACCGCATTTCAACCATTAACACTTCTATTCAGGATTCTTACCTTCATCAACTTTAAATTCAAACGGGTCTTCTCCATCATATCCCTTCTTGTCAAAAATTGTGCCATTGGAAAGTTTAGCAATATATCTAACTGCATCCCATGCATATGCTCTCATTATTAGCATTTAAGAACATAATCCATACACAGGGATTGTATGACAGATTGAAGCACTTACTCTGAGCAGTTGTTCCACTGTTTGGTTTCTCAAAGCCCATCCCTGTGCTGGTGATTTTCTTAACAACTAGCATATCATCAGTGACATATTCAAGAAGTTTGTAAGCGACCAATTCCAAGGAGATATTAACAATCGCTTTTTTCGGGACCGCAGGAAAACCATCCTGTGCAGGTCTCCCAGTCTCTCCAAATGCATCTGCAGGCAAGATCAGACCAGATAGACGTGGGTGAGATATATAAATATTTCAAGTGAATCGTGTTACCAATGGTCTACAATAGAATTCAGGCAATGGCATCATTGCTAGAAACAATGAATGCATGGAAATTGTTGACAGGAATCTCAACTAACTTGATGCAGTTAGATCAAGTTAAAATTAGGTCCAATTTCAAGCCTATTTATTTAGTAGATCTTTGTGCAAAGTCTTGCAAAAGTTAAAACTGTTACTTTTTCTGTTTTTCATAAACAAATAAAGAAAACTATTTGAATCGACATGTGGAATCAAGAAATTTTGACAAAACAATAATAATATAATTAAAACTTTTGATATAGAATGCTCCTTCTCTACATCTCTGGCTCTCTGAAAAGAAGATCCACCAGTATTTATTCTACCATCATTTGATAAATAGAAGATCAAACCAAAAATCTTTACATACATTTGGGTTCCACCCTTAAGATTGCTTGTTCTCCTTTCCTCATGGTTACGACAGTCTTTGCAATGGCAGAACATAGGTGACCTGACAGTACATCAAAGGGCTAATGAGGTTAGAGTAGAAGTTTTCTACAAGATCTGACTATGCATTTGCCTGTAAAACAAACTGAAGTTACCATCAGACACCAGAAACTCGACCCCATCTTCTGGTGATTTTGCCACAAGGGTACCATCCTCAAGTTTCAGCTCATATTTCACTGCAGAACAGTACGTAAGGACTTATTTTAGGAATCAAACTGAAAATTTGAGTAATCTAAGTATTATATGTTCTTTACTTCAAGTGTACCTGTTACTTCATCTTTCTTCTCTGCTCGCTCCAACACCCCACTTTTGTATAAAATTTTTTTCATAATTCCCCCATCCCCACAGACATCTACAACTTTGAACCAAGATAACAATTCAACCTGAAATTGTAGAGTTGCCTCAAGAGGGATATCAGGGAAGAGATCCTGAATTCCTTGGGTTAATGTGGGTGGAACAGTGAAGATGGAGGTTTCTCCCTTCCTCATGGTGATAAGGCCCTCCGTGCACCCTTTTAGTATGAGGTCTGCATAAACAAATGGTTGTTGCAAGGATAATTCATTAAATTGTTAGATGTTTACTGATGATTAACATACCAAGACCAAACACACAGTACAATTCCTGATCAATTTTGCCAGGGTGTCTGTCTGTGCTACATTTACAACCCCGCCAAGACTTCTAATTCTAAGTCGAAAGTATGAATCACATACACCACCCGAGCATATGAAAGCAAAGTTCCTAACAATCTTTCGCATAGAAAGAGGGGAAAATGGAAATAAAACAGAGGATTGAATAGTCATTTGTACCCTTTCCAACCACGACAACCAACGGCTCCCCCTTGTCTGTACTGGAGGCAAATTGTGACCCGCCAAGCACAGAAGCTGTGTAATTCACTGTATTGCAAAGTTCAAGCTTACCCATTAATCAATTACCAAAAAGGAGGGTATAAAATATACATTTACAGACTATCTGAGATCTTTAAAAAAGAACTACGAAGAGAATTAAGCATCTCAGTGGGTAGGAAAAAGAACGAATGTGACATCAATAATCACTCAAAACCCAAAAGAAGAATAAAGAGAACAAGAGATACTACAATCAATAACAGTTCCTAGTTTTAAATCACATTCAAGAAAAAAAAAACATAAATATAATTAAAACCAGGATCAGGCTCAGGCTCATAGAATGGAAAAAACAAACAGTTAAAAAGAAAATTGAAATGATAATCATGTAAAGAAGCAAACAGGGAGGACTAGACTAATGGTAAATGATAATTCAGTTGCAAAAGTAAAGCAAAAGAAGAGCAAGAAGAAATGGGTACCAGTGATCTCGTCTCCTATTTCTGGAACCTCCCATCCTGCTCCAACTCTGACAAGTTTCTTCTTCAATCCATCCTTGGTGAGGACGCCTTCATCTTCAGCCTTCTCAGGGTAGTAAGGCCTGAACTCCTCTTCTTGCTCGGACTTGGGTGGAACGGTAGCTTCATCTATGTCGTCCATCGTTCAAGCGTCTCTGAGTGGAATTCTTTCTGGTTCACAAGTTCAAATGGTGGTAGCAGTTGGCGCTTTCATGGGGCTTAAAATAGAAGGAAAGAGACGCCAGACCACGAGATACACGACACAGAACTACTACTACTAACCAGATTAACCAGAGGTCCAGAGCTCTGTCCTCCATCATTCAATAGCATTTACATCAGTTGATCAGTTCAGTTCCTCGGGAAATCGTCGAAACGAGACGCACGTGGGAGACTGTCTATCATACGAGGCGACAATCTATGATGAATCATGCTCCTCTCCTCTCCAACCATTCGATTTCCTAGATGAATGGGCCTCAGGCCATCGGATGATCCTTTTTTGTATGAGCCTTATAGCAATTGAATAAAGAATGTGACATTTTTTTTTTAGTTGGATAATGTCACGATGCTGTGTTGTTGTCGTTCTGTCAATCGTTGGATTGAAATTTTTAGAAATGATATTATATGTACCTTTTACCTTGCATGATCGACTTGATGGTAGGCGATCTTAAACTTCCTGGGGTTGACTTTACAAAACACGACATGATCACATCAAACAGCTCTCCGTTGGCCACCAGGAAAGAATATAACGGGCTGTAGAAACCAAACTAGCCACGTGTTATGTTTAGATGATCTAGACTCACCAATGAAGAAGCATCCTATACAACTGAGGCCGTATGGTATCGGCTGAATTGGCTAAAATAAGGGTGCATTTGGTTTCTAGGAATAGGAGAATGGAATCGAAATTGGAATGAGATTCCCATTCCCGGTGGTGAAATGGCATGTAAATGCAATTTGACATAAAACTCCATCATCGGTTTGCCTTTGCATGTGTTGGTTTTTAGTATAAATACGAACTGGTGTAAAACTCTACTCTCGGTCCGTATTTTCACATGTTTGTTTTCAGTGCATCTTTCCATCGATTATCACATAAAAAAAGCTCCTGTAGTCTACTAAAATTTTAAACCCATCAATTGAGTTTTACATAGATAAATTTTCCAGCAAAAACAAATGCAGACTCATTAAAGGGAATGAGAATCTTATTCTAACTAATCTAAAAAAATGGTTTAAAACTCCAAAACCTATCTCTTTTTACCCAATGTCAATCCTCCCTAGGAGTTGTACATGTCTTATGGAATCTTATTTCAATTTCCATCCAAATCAAACAAATAGAGGAATAGGCAATTCTAATTCTAGGGGATTTCAATTTTAATTTTGGGAAATGAAATCCGACTTTTTTAGTGGAAAGACCAAATTCCATTCATCAATCTCAGAATAAACCAAAGTCCTTCAAAAATTATGTGTATTAGATTATGATTGTGAATTACATCTCATAATGAATCAAAAGTCCTTAAAAAATGATGTGGATTAGATTATGAGCGTGACAAGACATATCTCACCAATTTGTATTGATCAAGAACAAATGTGTCAATAAGAAATGGCAATGATATCAAACGCAACCTTTGTCATTGAGGTATTATGCTTAGTAGCATATTGAGAAAGCAGGTGGGCTGCTTGATTACAAAACCAAGACGCATAACTAAGTTCTGAGGAGACATGAACCAGCAATCTCCTACGATCAAGATAACTAACAATCCGTTTGGTTCGCACAACTTGGATGAGAAAATAGGAACATTTGGCGAATATTCTTATTTTTTCATGCTTGTTTTGGGAGAGATGTTGCGATGCGATGAGAATAGCATTCTCAAAATATGGGATGTGGGGTCTCACCAAATAGGTACAACCCCACTGAGAAACAAAAGTTGTGCGATGACAGTGAGAAAATTTTATCAAGGGGTGGACCGTTCTCATCTCCCACTTCTACAACGGTCCGAACTCCGACCACCTGTATCCTTCATCTCCGATGAAGGTAATGTTTCCAGCGGTTATTGTCTTCGTCTTCTCCGGTGAAGACACCATGAACAGCAAGGACAAGTTATTATCTTCATTTCCGGCAGTTATTGTCTTCAGATCTCAGACAACAAGGACATGCTATTGTCTTCGTCTTCTTCGGCGAAGGTAACGTTTCCGAAGGTTTCATGCAATGGTTGTTTATCTGCAAAGTATTAAATAGCATGGTCAGCCCTCAACTCATTGAATCGCCCATCCAACCATGGTCGGTTGGACTAGTTTTTCCTCGCCGATGAGTTGAAACACGACACATGTGTTCTAGATCTACTACTATTGTCCTCTGGTTTAACTTCGGCACTCTAAATCTAGCCAGAGACATGTGTTTGTTCCAAACCTAGAGTTTTTCCCATGGATTTGTTCCAGTTCTGTAGTATTTCTTCATCCCTTCGTCTCATCAACCAAACACTAGAAGCATATTCTGTAGGATAGTCGGTCTCAACAAACAAACACATGGACCAAAAAATGAGAAAATAAATTCTTCCTTTCTCATCTCATCCCACTATTTCTTAGGAACCAAACAGACCATAAATGAATTTTCCATGAAAGCTAAGGTTAGATGAGAGCAACTCGAAGACAGCCTTAGCATTACTTCTGGACAAATAGGGTAAATTGATTATTTTAGTTCATTCTTTATGTTGATTCTAATTAGTTCAAGTCCTTTGTGATCCAAGAATCAGGGGTGAGGCAAAAGAAGGGTGTACATGAGGCCTATTCGCCATACCATGAAAATCTTACAATTCCATAGGTTTGATACCACATCTCTTGTTTAAAGAGGTGATGTTGTCCAACCCAAGGTGTGTCGAACCAAACACGCAACAGATAATCCTACTAATTGGATAAAGCCGAGGTGGAAGGATGAGGTCATGCACCGAGGAGATCTATAAACAGGAAAGAGTTAAAGACCCAAGGATGAGGTCCAGTGGAGGAACTCCAATTCTCAAGTCAATAATGGGGTGATGTAGTCAGTCATGTTGGGTTGGATCGAGCCAAGGAGAACAGTAAGTGAGCAAGAGAGCTAGAACACTTAGAGAATTTTGAGAGTTGAATCCCCTTTACCTTGAGGAGAGATACCTTTAAATAATTGAGTGTCCGAGTTGTACCTAAACACGTTCCCTGTGGGATCATTGGGATGAGGCCGCCCACTGAGGTTTTCAGGGAGCTTTGCCTTCCCTAGCAAGGGCGCTTATCCTTGGGAAGCAGTGTTTATCCTTTTCCTTACGGGACTTCGCTTTTATCCAAGGTCTTCGTTGACGTAGTTATCCACACTTGTAGATGAGCAATACACTGACATGGTTTGAGGACGTCGGCCACGGAAGTGCTCACATGGTAGCTCCAACCAACTAGGGCATTGCTCGAACACTAGTCCCCCAGTTCTAAAGCGAGGAGTGAGGTGCTTAATCGTGATGCAATGGAAGAGTTCATGAAGTGCTCGACTGAAGAACTTAGTAGATTTCTCTAGATGGTCGAAGCTTAGTCAAACCAGGTCTAATGCTTCAGGTGTTCTGCACTATTTGCTTCGGTAAGATGTCTTCCTCTTCGTCCTCTTTTTCCTTCTTCCTGTTCCAATAGTTCCGCTTCGAGTAGTGAGTTTGAGTCGAGGCCTCAACTAGAGGTTGTCGAGCTTGTACTAAAGATTGATGCCAACATGGCCGAGGTCAAGGAGACCAAAGATGAGGTCGAGGTCGAGGAAACTGAATATGAGGCCAAGGAGGCCATGGTCAAGGAGACTGAAGGTAAAGTTGAATTGGACAAGGTCGAGGGGACCAAAGGTAAGGCCGAGTTGATCGAGTTGAGAAGCTCGAAGGTGAGGTCAAGTTGGCCGAGGTCGAGGAGACCGAAGGTGAATCCGAATTGCCCGTGGTCGAGGAGACTAAAGGTGAGGCTGAGTTGGTCGAGCTAAAGACATCAAAGGTGAGGTCGAGGAGACCAAAGGTGCGACTGAGTTGGTTGAGGTCGAGGAGACCGAAGGTAAGGTTGACTTGAGGTCTTGGGCTTAATGGTTATGTGGTCAAAGTCTTACAATAGCTGAGGTCGAGGACTTCATGGCTAGGTGGTCGATCCCATGCTGGCCGATGTCTTGGGCTTAATGGCTAGGTGGCCGAGGTTGCAGACTTCATTGCTAGGTTATTGGGGTCTCAGACTTGATGGATAGGTGGCCGAAGTCTTACGATGGCTAAGGTTGTGGACTTCATGGCTAGGTGCCCTCGATCTTATGCTAGTTGAGGTCTCGGGCTTAATGGATATATGGTTGATGTCTTACGAAGGCTGAGGTCATGGACTTCATGGCTAGGTGGCCTCGGTCTTATGCTAGTTGAGGTCTCGGTCTTAATGACTAGGTGGCCAAAGTCTTAGGATGGCCGAGGTTGCAGACTTCATGGCTAGGTGGCCTCGGTCTTATGTGGGCCAAGGTCTTGGGCTTGATTGTTAAGTGGCCGAAGTCTTATGATGGCCGAGGTTGTGGAGTTCATGACTAGGTGGCCTCGGTTTGATGTTGGCCAAAGTCTCAGGCTTGATGGCTAGGTGGCCAAGGTCTCGGGCTTGATAACTAGGTGGTCGAAGTCTTAGGATGGTTGAGGTCTTAGACTTCATGGCTAAGTATCCTCGGTCTTATGCTAGTCGAGGTCTCGGATTTGGTGGCTTAGGCGACCCCCAAGCCTAGTTGGTCGAGGTACTTCCAAGCTCTTAGGTTTCTTAGGGGGATTGGTGGAGCCTGGTCATCTTGGAGCTAGTCGGCTACTCCTTAATGGGTCAACCATGGTGTTCAGCTGACTCTTCCTTCAACACTAGGTTGAGGGGATTGCCATGGGTCCTTGTTTCCTTAAGGCCATTATGACACCATGAAGTGGTCTTCGTTGGTCATCCTCAGGCCATGAGTGGTGAGGACGTCGTTCCCGCTTCACCAAATCTAAGCTAGGAATCCAAAGTATTTGTGCTTGGCCGTTAGAGTTCAACCAGGTCACCATGGAGAGCACTTGGTGTGTGCAGTATGATAAACACATCAAGAAGTATCGAAGGATCTGCGGGGCTCCTTTTGGGTCCTCGACATGAGGATCAACCACTATAGGCACCCATGGAGCTGGTTGCACTACTGTAGGGAAAAGTCCTTACTGCCCCAATGCTTCTATCATTAGGATGAGGCCGTCAACCTTCTTCTGTAAAGTGTTGAATTCTTTAGTATTCACCTAGTTTTGCGGCTGAACTTCACGGGGGGAAAGCTGTGTCGAGAATGGGATCCCCGAGATTGGGAGTGAGCGTCAAAGCAGTCGAAGGTGTTTTTGGGATGCATGATCTCTTTCGGTGCACAAGGAGAGAGAAAATTAGAAATAGGATTTTTGTTCTAATTCCCACAGACGACGCCAATCTGACGTTGTCCAATTCGGGGTGTGCCGAACTGAACACACAACAGATAATCCTACCAATTGGACGAAGCCAAGGTGAAAGGACGAAGTCGTGCACCAAGGAGATCTACAAACAGGAAAGAGTCAAAGCTCAGAGGACGAGGTCCCTAGGAAGGCACTCCATTACTCAAGTCAATAATGGGGTGATGTAGTCGGTTGGGGCTGAGTTGGGTCGAGTCGAGGAGAATAGTAAGTGACCAAGAAAGCTAGAACTCTTAGAGAGTTCCAATAGTTGAAGCCCCTTTACCTTGAGGAGAAATGCCTTTAAATAATTGAGTGTCTAAGTTGTACCTAGACACACTCCTTATAGGGTCATTAGGATAAGGCCCCCCCACCTAGGTTTTCGAGGAGCTCCACCTTCACTAGCAAGGGCACTTATCCTTGGGAGGCATTGCTTATCCTTGTTTGTGCAGGACTTCTTTTCTATCTGAGGTCTTTAGTGATGTAGTTATCCACACTTGTAGGTGAGCAATGCGTTGACGTGGTCCGAGGACGTTTGCCACGGAGGTACTCATATGGCAGCTCCGACCAACTAGGGCACCACCCAAACAAGAGGTACCAAGTGACCATCTTGACTATTGGGTCATCAATTATTGATCGATGGGCGTAAGCAAGTGGATAAGTTTTACTTATAACCAAATAGAACTACTCTTGTGTTGGCCTTGAACCAACCCTACCATATTTGCTACAGAGTGGGGTTTAGTTCCAAATTCTTGGAACCAACCCCAACCCAAGCCAATTCTAGGGTCTAGGGGTTTACTCTACCAAATCGATTCAAAGAACCAACCTTGAAACTAAATTTGCCTTGAAAAAAATCCCAAAATACTTTGAGGATGTAAAGATTTGAACCCAAGCACAAATGGTTACAAAAAGAACATGATCATGTGTCTTCAATTTAATATTTGAATATATTAAGTAATGTAAAAGGTAATAATTACAAACTTTAAATTATAATGATAAATTTTGGACTTTATATTAATATATTATGATAATATACAAATTAAATTACTCAATTTAGTCAATAAAAATAGTATAAATTTTGGACCTTATTATTATTATTATTAAAAATCAAGTTTTTAAAGAACAAATTCCTCTTTTTTTAAAAAAGGGGTAAAGAAAGAATAGATTCCAGAAGTAGACTTGAAACCAATCTTAATAAATTAGGTTCCAGTTCCACCTATGTTCACCCCTACTAATTGATCTAGGAATGTTAGTGGTTTGAATAAATGCAATAAAACCTATATCAAACCAAACCAAATCAATTATTTAATGCTTGGATTTATATTACGTGCCCTAATTATAATGATGACATGATTAGTTTTGGTCGTTCCAAATCAATTAAATTAAAATCCAACTATGTATCAACAATTTTAAATTCAAAGGTAGGCATTTTCTAATGTAAATATGTATTATACTCCCAAGGCACCATGACTTTGTCTTGGACATATAATAATGTTAAAGTAATTGATAAAAAAATGGATAAATTATAGATTACCACCCTATATTGTGGATTATTGACACTTAGCCCATGGACTTTCATTTGTGAGAAAGACTCACCTTGAACTTTCACATTCAACACTTTGCTTTTACATTGTTGATGGCCTTAATGATAAAGGTAAAATGACAAAAATGTCCACATAAAGTTATGTGTTCTTTTGTATTTTTTTTTCTATCTTTATGTACTTGTATCTTTTTCTTTGCCTGCAATTTTTTGTATTTTATATTCTGTCAAGCTTTTTTTCTTTTGAAAATTTAGTATTTTCATTATTTCCCTCTCTTTCTTTATTAAACTATGCAATTTTCTATTTTTTTGTATTTTGTTTTTATTTATTTTCTTTTGATTGCATTTTATCAATTTTCTACAAAAATGGTCTCTTAAAATGATATAGGGGCAGTTTAAGGTTTTACAATATTTAAACATGCACATGACAATCGCATGAGAATCTTTTTTGAAGTTAACTGATATTCTTATGTTTGGCAATAAACGATGGGAAACCGAAAAGACCTCCATCCCATAAAGCTTGTAGAAGCTTGAAATGGCTGAAAATTAGGAAACTTCACTTCCCGTCTTTCCATGCCTAAAATTATTCATTTAATATCCCAATAGTCATGGTAAATCGGGATATCTATTAAAGACATGACCTATAAGCTCAATACGTCTTTTGGCTATATGGGCTATTGAAAGATTTTCTTCAAGGCCAAGTTTGGCAGTGCTTAAAAATATTATTTTGCGTAGGAACCACACTAATAAGCACTTATAGGCATTTAGGAAATAAGCTTGAAATAAGTGCTTATTTAAGAAGCCCGGAATTTCGACTTTATATTTGAACTTTACCTTCCAAAACACGAGTTAACTTTGGCTGTTGAGGGCCAACAGTCTATGCTGTTGAGAGAATTTTTAGGCTGGACACACTCACCAATTTGCGCCCATGTCTATGATTATGATTAAAAAAGAAATAGAGAGTAATTACTATTTTACCCCACTCTATGATAACGTGGCATTCCCAAAAAATATTCTTAACAGCAGAGGTTGTTGGCCCCCAACAGCCAAAGTTTATCCCCAAAACACTCCCTTTATTATATTTCAAAATGCCAAATAGTGCCCTTTGCTCGAAGAACACAGGATTGTCTCTCTATTCGATGAAACTTTCTTATCTGTTATTCTTCTCACAAACCCTATAGCAGAGGCAACACTACCCCAATCTCGAACCAGAAGCTCGTACATTCAAGTTGTGAACATTATTCTCTACTCTTTTTTTTTTTGGTTTTCTCATCTTCAACCGAACAATCACTACAGTCGTCCAATTCTATTACTTGTTTTTTTTTTTTTCCAGTGAATACCAATTTCTTTTTCCAAAATGTTAGGGGATTTTTCAAGCTTGAATCAGAAACTTGTGCATGCAATTGGTGAACATTCTTCTTGATGTGGAACTCTTAAAATGAGGGTTAAATTTATCTTTTTAAATGGATAAGTGCTTATTGAAAGGAAAAAAAAAAAAAAAAAAAACACCAAACACCCAACATGAAATAAGCACTTGAAAAAGCTTGGTGCCAAACACAAATAAATGATTTATTCCAATAAACACTTATACTTGCCAAACAGCACCTAATTAGACGCTTATGGCAGGGCAAAGTGTTGGTTGAAAATTCTGTGTAGGCCTTTGCTGCAAATGAAAGTTTGAATGGTTAAGTATCACCACCCCTCATAATATAGGGCTGCAGTCTGTAATTTATAAATAAATTTTTTCCAACCTCAAAAAAATAGTATTGAAAAATTGTGCCAACCCGAGCCCAACCCGATTTAGAATTAGGTTGGGGGTTCAACAGTTAGGATTGGGTCAGGGTTGACCTCAACCCGACCTAACCTGATCCGCTACTTAAAACCATGATTTCCCGGGTTTCCTGTCCTGTGAATATGGAGAGGCGTGGCTGGCTCAATTCGCGAAAACCTTTACTGGATTGGATTGGGCCAAACGATTTGTCCCAGATTTTGGGCCTAGGTCCAGATCAAGAAAACAAGTATGTAGTCAGCCCACTCTGGCCCCGAGTTGCGATTCCTAGCTAAAATGCGCTCATATCAGACCTCTCCAACCCTAAAACCCCGATCCGTCCTTCCAATATAAATACGACGTATTCCAGTAGAGCAACCTCTTGCGAAGCTAGGGTTTCTGAGCAACCGTGCTAATGGTGAGTTCGTCGCTTTCTAATCTCTCCATCTCACTGATTTTCTCCAAATTCCGATCTTTAGGAAAATCTACCTCTTTCTATTCCTTTTCTGCTGTTTAGGAATCGTATGAACCCTAACTTTTGATTTGATGCGAACAGGGAAAAGGTACAGGAAGCTTCGGTAAGAGGAGAAACAAAACTCACACTCTCTGTGTGAGGTGCGGGCGCCGCAGCTTTCACCTTCAGAAGAGCACATGCGCCGCTTGCGGGTTCCCTTCGAGCCGTATCAGGAAGTGTAAGCGAGCGATTGATCTACTCTCACATTTAGATTCTTTTGACACCGATTACTATTTGATGCATTGGCCATTCGATATTTATTTTCTCCTGATCAATTGCGGTTTTTGGTTGTTGTATTAGATAACTGGAGCGTGAAGGCGATCCGAAGGAAGACCACTGGAACAGGTCGGATGAGGTACCTTCGCCATCTCCCGCGCAGATTCAAGAGTAACTTTAGAGAAGGTAATCCGGCCCTTTATTTTCATTATTCTTCAGGATTTCTGTTCTGCTGAGGTATGCTTGATTGGTTTACTTTATAAGCTAATGTTGTTACTGTGTTTATTTTTCAGGTACTCAAGCAGCTCCAAGGAAGAAGGGAGCCGCCGCTTCTTAAGGTGTATGTGGACGTAATTTTGGTAGAGTCTGTTCTAGCTTCAGTCGTATTTGAATTATGAATACTGGTTTTTAAGATCCCCTCCGATGAGTGTTTTAGCAGTAGAAGTTTTGTACTGGAGATTAATTGTTTACTACTTTTATTAATCTTTGTTTCATTATTTGAAGCAATTGGTTTTCATTTTGAAATACAATTTGGATGTCTAATTCCAGAATCAACCTTTACTCTCACCTTTCTCTTATGCACTTGTTATTTTATTAATAGCATATATGTATGTTTACGTGGCCAATCAGTTGCAAGTGATTGCAGTGTAGGTTTCCAGAGGGAATATTGATGGTGAAATATTGGATAGTTCGAAGTAGGTAGAGTTGAAAAACGTGTTATTGGATAAAAATGATGGTGAAATATTGATGTTTCACTGGGAGTTTCGAGATGGACCCATGAGTTGGTATTGATAAATGTTATCAAGTCTTAAACGTGAGGGATGTCTCAGGGGTTGGAAGATTTGATTTGAATGAGTAATCTTGGTGGAAACAGGAATGTTTGTAGGGAAGTTGATTTTTCTCATCAGTGTGATGTTCATTCTGCCGGTTCTAAATTTAAAACTAGTGAATCCATGGGGTTTTTCTTCTCGCTTTCTAGTGATTAGATCTTTGCATATTGGGAGAAATGGTCTGTTTCCAAGTTCTCTAGGTTGCATCGTTTGAATGGACTTTGTTTGATTCTACAAACAAATATTTGATTATTGATTGATCATGAAAGATGCTGATTTGCCATTGATGCATGACAAAGTAGTTTAAGAAAGAAATTAAGGTGATGTTTAATGGACTTTGCTTGCATGACAAAGTAGTTTAAGAAAGAAATTAAGGTGATGTTTGGCATTGATGCTGATTTGCCAGAAATTGGTGCCACGTCTGATCCACATAGAAATTGAAGAACCATTGGTTTTTTTCATGTTTGGTTGGCCAATTATGCTGATTTTTGGGAAATCAGCAAAAAATTGATCCTTGAAATTGGCTTGGGTGAGGGGGATCACCACATTTGGGGAGGGTGTTTGGTTCCTTTTATGTTTATGGGTGAGGGACTGAAGGTTTCACTCTAAAGGTTCTTTACTCTCCATCTCAGATTAATACCTATTAAAGTGTGTTCAACATCAGCATTTGGTTTCAAGAAACACTGGGGCGTCAGGGGAAACAAGAATTTGATGTTTTCCTAAATGCCCCATGCACAAAAATCAAAGTATTGTTTTCTTCCATTTATTTGATAAACTGTAAAACCAAACAGTTTTTCATTTTGTTTCATATGCAATAGATGCCACCTGTCTATGTGGTGGTGTTTTTTCAATAAATGCCAACGGAACCAAATACATACTTGGTGATTCCCTGATTTACAAGCAACTTTGATTTTGTTGGGTGAGGTAGCATCCTATGTGGCAGGGGCGAGGTGTTCTAGTGGTTCAATGAAAAATAATCTCTTGAAAATCATTGCCTAACAATCTTAAAAGTGATTTTTAAAAAATCGGCATGCATGTAGGAAATGGTACTAATAACAAAAAATTATTTCAATAATCACAGATTTTCATAAAATCAGCAAGTGTGAGGAATCATCATCGAAGCCATACATCAGCTAAGCTTTTGGAAGTCATTTGTATGAGTAAAATCTTGTGTATCATCTGTTCTGTACTGTGCTGAGGCTTTGATCTTAATAATAAGTCTAAGTTGAACTGGCTTCATTGAATGTCACATTTTTTCACCAAGCTCTTTTCTCGGAGGATTAGTTGGAGTGGGCCTGCCTACGAGGGCTACGGCCTACGACTGAAATTGTTGCCGTTACGCATTGCAGCCATGTCTTTTGCCGGCATAATGAATACTATGTCAGAATGAATGTTAATTAAATGCTAGATCAGAAAGTTACGTTACTGTAATTAATTAAAATGGATGACGGAGCATAGAGATAGATAATGGCTGGGGTGTCTGAGCTCCGAGACTTTGTCGTGAGTTAAGCCTTGGGATGTGTTGCTTACCTTGTTAGAGAAGTGCATTCTGAGGTGAGCTGAACCGTCATTCTTCCTAGAAAGAACTTTTTAGATTTTCAGGCCAACCATAAAGCTAATAAAGGGGCTCAAGCGGTTTGACCCCATTAATCATTGTACTATCGAATTGATGTGATCAGCTTCAGCTCTTTCGCATGCTCGGCATGGTTAATGATTTGATCCAGAAACCGTAGTGCGTGTCTGGGTCTACTCTGGTTCAAAGTATCAATACACAAAAATTCTGAACGCCCTTGATCTAATCTGAACCGAGACCAAAGAATGTGTGATAGTGCACTTCGAAAAAAAAACATTTAGGATGGGTATGAGACCTTGAATGAACCTTGATTCGGTTCTGATAGCATAGCGTAGCTGTTAAACTATTTATAGCTCAGTAGATGATGTGTTCAACCTGATCAATGACTTGGGTTTGGGACCTTGGCTAGTGCCAAAAATAGGGGCATCAACAAAAAATGAAATAATTGTCATCACAATTAAAATGGCTTTTTTTTTTTTTCAAGTTTTCTTTTGTCTCCATGATGCTACCCAACAGGGGGGTAGGGGTAACTCATCCCCCAAACCCATAACCTCCCAAACTCCGGTGCATGCGGCATTTGATCCAAGTTAACACCTTGAAATCAAAGTGACACTGGAAGAAGCGAATTCACTCTAAGGCAGGGTCTCATTAACAACTAGTCAACTATTTCCGCTAATGAACAATATAATAATATCCCCAGAATCCTCGATTTGTTGAACCTGCCTAGTAGCCTATCTTGAAATTGAAGGCGGCTACTCAGGAGCCGAGGATTTAAGGGAGATGTCAGATGTGGGACTGATCAGTGATAACGAACTTAAACCACCTTGGCCCAGCCAGCATTTGTAAATATGGACAACAAGATTGCGAAATTAAGTTTCAGCCTTTCAGGATTTGGTTCTGGTTGTCTTTTGCCACGGGGGGGGGGGGTGGTTATTGCTTATTTCTTTTTCCCCAGGTAATAGTAATACTAAAATACAGCACGAGATCCGGTATTGTCGTATTGGTATTTTGCTTGCACAATCGGCTTTGCAGTTGCAAGCAAATAAATATGCATGAGCCTCCTGCGTCTGCTTGGATTGGACCCTTTAAAGCTTTACTTAGTCACTTAAAAAAAAAAAAAAGTATAAAATTATAGTTAGTGCCCGCAACACATTCATTTGTAAGGTGTCTTGATGCTATTATCTCTACAGTGATTACACCACACCGACAACGAAGAGGACGATTGTGTAACAAAATTAGAAGAAGCTCCGTCCATGTCAGGGGCCAACTAAAGAGGGATAATCAGTCTCTGACGCTGGGTCATGCAGATGCAGTGCCAGAAACATTTTATAAGGTGACATCCGTGGGGAGCACTGAGCAGCACAGAATGAATATTAAGGTTCATGGCAGCATTGCCATCATTCATCATCCCACCACCCAAATTACAATAGCACTTTCTGGCACTCTTCTAATAAGACTAGCAGGATGAATAGAGAAAAAGCCCGACTTACTTCCCTAGTGTCTGAGCCAGTAATTTCGAAGCTGAGCCATGTGCAGTAGTATTTCTTCGCGACCTTGATTGGTAACACTGCTGGTCATAATCCATGGTGGTGCTGCTTGGAAGAACTCACGAATAAGCTCTTGGAAGTCTTGCACATTCTCTTCAGGTCTTTTCCCTCCATTCCTTTTCTTCTTCCGCTTATCGCATTTGGTGAAGATCAATGTCATGGGGATCTGGTGGAATATAGAGAAAAGGAAAGAAAATCAACTAAGCGTTACTACACCACATCTTCCCTGCAACTCATCATGAGTGAAGTGAAGAAGACAGCTTCATCAAATAAAAGCAAACCAATGCAACATACTTTCTCTGTGTCTGGTAGAAAAATGAACAATTAATAGAGAGGTAATGATGCGGGCAAAAAAGTCTGTCAAAACTTTCCATATAAAAAAGATATTACTTGATTCTTGAAACAATAAAATTATGTTATTTTCTTCTACATAACCCAGATAGAGAAATGCTACTAAACATTAACTTTCTGTAACTCCTTGAATTATTTGCCCTACAGACAAGACGGGACCATGAAGAATACATGTCCAACTCCAACCTTGTCTTAATAGTGTGTCTTTTCATGACTCCACCGTGTGTCTGTAGGCAAAGTTTACAAGCATTTTGCAAACAAATAAATTTTACCTGGTTCTGGCCCAGCCAACTGGCATACTCAAGATCAATCTTTTTTGCAGGAATGCTTGCATCTATAAGGAGGAATACAGAGACAAGTGTTGACCTATTGAGGAAATAGTCTTTGGTAAATTTATCCCAATCTGTGCGAAGTTCCTGTGGTGCAGCTGCATATCTTCATCAAAATATATGCTTAGTTTTTAGTTATAAGAATGGGAAATATAATAATAAAAAAACAGTAATGGATAATAAATAATGGAATAGCTACAGATAATGATGGCCATTTTTGGTATTCAGGATAGAGAAAGATTGGGCAATTTCAGAAGATGTAAGTGCATATATAAGCAGAATAAAAAGAGGAACAACATGGAATCTCATAGAAATTTTAAAATGTTTTTTTTCCTGTCACATCTTCAAAATATGATATCTAAAGAAATGTATACAAATGTATGTGCTCAAGCCCTAAAAACAAAAGTAAACTTGAGGAGATTAAGGGAGGCCCCACACCTCCCATTCCAGCATTCCCTAGAAGGCTTGAAATATCTCCAGTCATAAACATTTACGACTCTAACTAAGAGGTATTAACCATGCCATTCACAGTTTCCTTGTCAACATTATTGAATATCCCAATGGCAGAGAGAGAAGTGCAGATTATAAAAATTGTATTGCTGATCTTACCCATATCCAGGCAAATCCACTAGGTACCAGCTATCATTTATCCGGAAATGGTTGATGCATTGTGTCTTCCCTGCAAGTAAAGAAAGAACTCTTATGCGGTTAACCTTATAGGCATGAACATTTCAAAGAACTAAAAACTAGCTCAAGGCTGAAAGAATATATATTTTTTTCAAAGACAAAGAATATTATGGTCAAGAGCAATATTACTTCTTTAAATGTATGCTCAAATTTGAAAAATGTCTGAAAGGGGGATTTCCCATGAGATTCCCAGAAAAAAAAGGCTACACTGCTGCACTGTAGGATAGATATGATCCCAAAGAACAAAATTTCTAGCTTCAGGTAGGGAAGAAATTCAAGGTTTAAGAATTGGAGTTTAAGCAAGTTGTTAAGACACAGGCAATCCTCTCAAGATCATACATGGCATTTAGCTGTTGTAGCCAACATTTCTTTAAGCAACGTGATACATTGTCATGGTACATGATTTATTCGGAATAAATCTCTGAATCATCAATCAAACATAACGTAACATATATTCCTAACAAACTTCCAAGATTATCTACAAATTATGCTTGGACAATGAATTAGGTTTGATGCTTGTGGTTCCTTCAACATAAGTTGGGATGATTAGGAAAAGTGCCTCTTTCTTCCTTGATACGTAACCATTTTGATACTGTTGTCCATATCCAATGATGGTCTTCCTTTTGTCTTGATAGGTTTACCTGATATAGGCTAGGTGTAAGAGATCCAATTTCCAGGTTATTAACCTTTTTTTTTTTTTGATAAATTTCCAGGTTATTAACATGCCTCCTGAACCTTTTGAAACTCCACCATAACTTCATTACTATCTTCAGAATAGCTACTCAAGGCAAACTGTAGGACCAATAGATTACAAAGATGCATGCATAATTTCATCTTCCCTTACATAGATAATAGTAGGTATAGAAGCATATGCAAGTTAAAAAATAAACTAAATATACAAAATGAGGTAAACCTTCTTGTGTTCCATCAATATTTTTCTTTCCAATCTGGAATAAAAAAAAGAATAAAGAACAAAGGTGGGTTGCGCATCCAAGAGTGATGCCATGGAGGGATTTGATAAATAATTCCAATAGACTTTTTTTTTTATAATCATTCCAGTAGACCACTTTGGCTCTAGAAAGCTTCTATTGTGCTTGTGTGTTTGTGCTGCAGTCCCTGTATGTGCAGAGAGAGGAAATAGTATATATTCGTGTGCATGCATGTGCTTTGTTGGGGGAAGGAAGTTCTTGATCAGCTCAACTAGCAAATCTCCCTCAACATCCAAACTTGTTTCCTGTTTCTGCCATGTGGAGAAACCCTCTGGCTGATCTGAATAGTCCATTGGATTACAGACCTTTTGGACCTGCCACATATTCACTACCTAGTCAAATGTCAACCTTATATTCCATTGCCTACCCAAGTTATATGAACCGTCCAAAGTCTCATTTGAAAAAAGGCCATCAAAGAAGGGCTTATTTTGTCTATGTAACAAGGGTTTAAAGCTAAAAGTTTCCCTATGAATATAAGGCGTTAGAAGGAAATTTGTGGTCCTATTGAGCCCCAAAATATATTATCATGTAGCAGGTCCCTGGGAGACAGGGAGGGTATTAGATGCATATTTATACTTTCATATACAGCCCTCAGAAGCACCTGACCTTCAATAAAACAGGAGAAATCACCAGGGAAGTCTTTGGGATATAAGACAAATAGAGTATATCCATACTTGTAAAAAAATGACGAAGTCTAGATACCTATTCGCTTCGCCCTCAAGGTCCAAGCATAACATAGTCAACAGACTCAAAGCTGCAAAGGCCAGTTTCACAAAGGAAACAAGTTGCCTTCCATGGCCAATGAAACACATCGTTGACTTATGGATTCATGTAGATGAGTCCCATGTAAAATTGATATTCCCACAACCAAGACCTATTGGATAAATCTAATTCCACTAAGCAAGCAGGAATTTAACAATACATCATGACTCCATGCCCAATTCCTTGATGTGTCCCTTAATGTTTTTGCTAGTTCCCAACACCTTTCTCCTGTCTCCGTCCAAGTTTCCATGTCCCCACATGCTTCTGTTAATTACATGAAAACATTTCCTCATTTAATCATTCTACTTAAGCTATTTCTTTCATCTCAAGTTCGTGGTTCTCAAGTGAAACTATCAAGACTTGTTGATGTTGGTGGTGGGTATATGTTTTAATGAATCAATTGAAACATAAAAAATCTCACCATTATCCTATGAGCTGTTTCAATATGTCTGCATCCTCACTTCTGTTTGCATTTTTTTATTCATTTGATCTTCCAAATTGCATCTTAATTCATTATCTCATCTGGCATTTATTTTCATGCTTTTAGTAATACTTTTTTCTTCACTCTTTTTCATCACTCAAGCCAATCTGCATAAAGAATATAAACGACTACCCTACCACCTCATGTAAATCCTATTCCCAGCAAAATAAATTAGCTTATCCACTGTTGCTTAAAAAATAAAGAAAATGAAAAACTAGTTTATCCAATGTCTACCTTTTCAAGAGCTTGTGTCATTGTAATTAATGGCAAAAAATGAATATACCAATTATCACACTAACTAGTTGCTACCAAGAGTTTTAGGCATGTGGATACACTGCAACTAATCTCAGTAAAAATTGAAGAAACCAAGCAAGAGAAAGAGACGGGGCTACCAACCAGGCTTCTTCGAAGTGAGCGCAAGCCGCTTCCGCCTAACTAGGGAATTAAGCAGTGACGACTTTCCAACATTTGACCGGCCGACAAGAGCAAACTCAGGCAGCCCATCCGAAGGGCAGTGCTCCGTCCGCGTACTGCTCTTCACAAACTCCGCCTGCGTTATCTGGGCGTCCCTTGCATACTTGCTAAGAACTATGTTTGAACCCTTCAACACCCTAGTGCTCAGCGGAGTAGACCCAGATGAAATATCGGTTTCCGGAGGAACAAAAAGTTTTTCGAGGGGAATTTCAATCTGGGGCTCCTCTGGAATCACCAAATGGTTGTGAATATCGCTTTGGGTATCTTCTGAAATCTCGGCAATCGAAGAAAAGTGCGAAATTGAGAGCGATTGTGAGGGGATAGCAGATTTGGCTATGCAACTGTATGTAGAAGTAGTGGGCAATCTTGTTTTGGGAAGAAGGAAAAGATGGGCATAAAGAGAAGACGATGGGACGGAGAAGGGGGTGTAGAAACGCGGGAGTTGAGTGAGAAACGTCATGTCTCAAGTCTACTGGTTTTATTCCTTCACTCCGTGAGGAAATATTAGCGATGCTTAGGCAGGAGGAGGAGGAGGTTAAGCTTGTTATGGCACCAAGCTTATGGAAAGCAGCGGCTTTTAAGAGGGAAGAGATGTCAGCTGGTAGTAGAAGGGCAAGAAGCAGATTCAAAAAGCTTCTCAATACTCCATAGTTCAAGTAATGTTAGAGACAAAGCTTTGTATAGGGGAAGTGGTTTTCAATTTTACCGGCAAAGAGGGTGGATGAAATCACGACAAATTCATTGTTCCCTCCTGGTTCGTGTTAGCGAAGAATCTGTTCAAGCGACTAGCAATGTAGATTTTTCACCATTTTAAGCCAAATGGAATATGGACCCTCTTCGAGCAAAAAGGATATTTTGCTTTTGGGTAAATTACTCAACCCTCCCCTGTTTGTTCCGAAAAATGCTTTAACTTCCCCTTCACTTTTTAAACTTCTTAAAATTTCCCCCTCAATATTTTCGAGAATTATACAAATAGGCCCTTTCTGTTTGTTGGACAATAAGAATTAACCACAATGACAAGTTGACAACATACCACCATCAAGTCTGTCATCTGTTGATTCAATGGTGATGGTTTTGATATCTATGCCCTCTTAGCCATTTCAAAGCCTGAGATTAGAATTTTCAGCCTCCGGGATATGGGCTCACTCAAAGCATAAACATTCTAATCTTCAAATTACACATTTAAGGCATCTGAAGATTATTGACAAAAGCAACAAAGTTTTTATCTGCCGAGGAGTTTTAATGCTTCTAATGGTTAATGCTTATTAAATCAGGAGGGCTTACAATCTTTGGTTATTTATACAGGTATCTACAGGAGGCCTCCATGTTTAGTTAAAAATAATGTAACTTAAACACTGCACCATGGAGATTATTATACCATCTTTGCATTCTTAATAAATTGACAAACTTCAGAAGCAGCCTGAGAGACCCAGTTCAACGCAGTGCTGAAAAAGAGCTCCCAGAGCCAGAGATCAAATGCCAGGACTAAGGAGAAGATGAGCAATGCCACAGTCTGGTACCTATTCAGTGGCCAACCTGATAGTTTGGCTAAAGTCTTCAGGAATGGGAATGATTGACTCTCAAGTTCCCGGTTCCTTATGGACCATGCTGTTATCCATTGAACTTGTGATGGTAGCAGACCAAGTTCCTCATGTAACCTCCTACCCAAGTCTGGCATGTGCCCACCCCCATACAACACCGCAATCTTATTGTGTCCTTCATCAATGGCCCTCTTCAATGCCTCTATTGCAACTTTGTTCCTCTCACCAAGGATAACAGATTTCTCTTCCACATCTGCTATTGCCCGTGCGAACCTTCATGAGCAATACAGATGTTAGTTCATTGAGAAACATGCCTTTCCCTTAAAAACTGTAGCAAAAAATGTGATAACTGACTATGAGAGCAGGCAATCAATAGTGCAAGGCATCTTCAATACTTCACAAATTTATCTCAGCAGTAAGCACCTAGTGAATAAGGCACCACTGGATCCAATGGTCTTTTAACTTTTAGCCATTGATTGATGTAGATTCATTCCAAAACAATTATAATACTACAGACAAGGAGTAGAATGATGGTAGTAAATTTCCAACTTAAAAGGCAACGAGTACTCGTTAGCCCTCCTCTCAGGAAAAGGAGATAAAATGATTTTTATGTTTAAAGTAAATTCAGAAACCACCAAAATTAAGCCTGGATAGCACATGGGATATTCATGTAGTTTTTATGAACATTAGGGAGGGAAACTTTACACTTACTCAGAAGTTATCCTCTTTGCCAAGAAAACTTTCATTGCAGCACCAAAATCAAGCATGGACAGTGCCTCCACCTCTGGATATTCAGATGTCTCATTTTGCAGATCTAAGCAGATGCTTCTTATAATGAGAAGGCCAACAAGGGGCATGGGTAGCACACAGGAAGCCCATAGAAGCTTGGATTTCCAAGGACCAAGATCTACAGGACTACTAACTGGCTGCACTATGGCCTTCATAGATTTAAGGCTCATTTCTCTGGAAAATGTAAAGAAGTTCTCACCTCTTTCCAGCTGAAACAGATGACAAAGTATAATCAAAGACATCAACTAAGAGGCTACCCATAGATATTGTGTCATTATTAACATTCCAAGAGCAGAAAAATGTTATTGTATGCAAATTAACTGTGCTTAGACATTTTTAATGCCAGAATTAACCACTTCATGCCAAATTTGCTCTTGTAAAGTTAAATTTTAAAACTATACCAGCCTCTAGGAAGAGGAGAAATGAGAGGGGAACTTATGTATGAGAGAAATCATTTGCTGCTTCAACATGCAATTCTATTGCATATAGATGGAAACATCATACAAATTTTCTTGCCTATCTAGATAAAAAGTAAAAATTATTATGTAAACTGGTCAAGAAGTACCATTATAAATATAAAATAGTCAACTATTCTGGAGGCCTCTATTAGACAACGTCCTTAGTATTTCCATTAATGCTGTTAACTCAACTCAGCTAAGCCTTGTCCCAACTCCCAACTATATAGGATTTGTATTTCTATTGATGCTGTATTGCTTTTAATATCCTCAATGCATGTGTGCTTATGTACAGACTTTAAAATAGAGAATATTGATCATAGAAAAAAGTGATACCTGTAGAACCTTGAAGGACTCATAGTCAAGGTCCGCATGGTACCAATTTTCACCCTGATAGTCAAGACAGTCCAATTGGAAGTCAAGAGTAAGAATTCGAGCCATTTTCCGTTGAATGCATCTAAGAATATTGAATCCATGTGATCTTGAACCTTTCAGTTTTTTGGTAGCAGTTGGGTTTCTACTATTTTCTAAGCTCTCTCTGCTTGCAACCATCTCATAAAGAACGCAGTCATAGTGTTCAAGTTCCTCCTGAAGGGTCACAAAATACCTGCATGCTGAGATTAGCATCATTCAAACTAGAATTTTGTAATTTAAAAAAAAAAAATCCAACAACAGAAGAAAAAAAATATATGCCAAGAAATTTTGCTGAAACAAAATTTCAAATTATCACCTCTTTTCTTACACAAGTTTGAACTAGAAAATAATCTTGGTTCAGAGCAAGTTTAGAGATTAAACATATGATAATGATGTTGGGAATCAAGATGGTTGTAAGATTCAACAAACTTCAGAGAAGTCTTGACAAGGAGGAAATGGGAAGGGACTTGGTTCATTCCCTGAACCTTCCACGAATGATTCAACAATGTTTAACTTTGGAAATAAACAAAAACACCTAATCGACTTAAACCACACCAACCTTCAACAGAAGAAAATATTCTTATCCAGCTTAAATCTAATACTACAACACTGTGAGATATGAAAGGAAACAAAACAAATCAGATAAAAAAGCATACTCTTTATCTGCGATGTGTATTGTGGACACCAAATCAACCTGCAGAAACAAAACATCAGCTGATAAGTAGCATCTTCAAGAAGAATGTTAAAAAACTTATTACTTAACTGGCCTTTAATATATATAGGAACTAGGCAACTGATTAAGTTTAGGAAACACAATCCTTTGAAATCCACTTGAATTGAAACAGGTCTTCAATATTCTTGCCCCCTCCCCCCCCGGGTTCTTGGGTTGTTCTTTTTCACTTCAAATGTTCAATAAATCCTACTCTTTTGTTGTCGATAGCTTCCATACTAACATTACGTGGATAAAAGAAAAAAAAAGGTGAAGAAATAAGAGAATTGCAGCACACACCTGAAGAAAAGGCCGAAGAGAGCACGGGAACTTCTTTCTGTAGCTGACAACTGCCGTCTGCAACTCACCATTGCTTCCCCCGTTCCCTCTTTGGAATCTCATGAAATCAGCAATGGAATTATTCTCAGGAAAGTTATTGGAAGCACCATCTTCGATTGGTTTCTGCGAAAAAGCTCCAATCTCCAAAGCTCGGGGAGCAAAGCGGAAAGAAACTCGTTTCACGCCTTTGGGTTTCCATTTCGAGACTTCCAATGATCTGCTCTTTGTAGTAGTCGTAGTAGTAGCAGCAGCAGCAGTTGCCGAAGGTGATTCGTCATTGGAATAGGATGGAAACGAAGATGTGGAGGACAAGATGGAGATAGCACCACAGACCATAGCCGGTGACTGGTGTAACTGTGTAAGTAGATAGACGAATAGAACACACAGAGAAGCCCAGAAAACCAGGAAAGAGAAGAAAGAGAAGGCCTGGTCTACGGTCTATTGATCTCTCCCAATCATAGTCTCCTCTCCCCTTGCACAACTGCTGCTATCCAAAAAATTTCTGTTTATAGACCGGTTAGGATGTTGCTAAAAGCTGCACTCACGTTTAACTGTACAAGTAACGTCCACTTTGAAAAAACAATGGCAGTACCCTATTTTTAACTAGTAAGAATGTTTTTTAGAACATTTTGCTTGCACGTAAGCATGAAGCTGAGTGAGGATCTTTGAATCCGAAGCTACCGTCCGTTATACGGCCGCGAAAAATACATCGGACGGCTGGAAAAGAATTAGTGAGTGGAGTATAGTATATATAACACAATGCAGCAGAATCTAATGGCTGGAAACCGTTCGATCCTTCTTTCTGCATTAAGACACCTTATTGCTGATTCAGGAGTGAAAATAAACTGCACAGGAAGTCTTCTACGCATCTGCCACAGGCCCAGTAACTGATTGATTATTGATTTTTTTTTAAATTCCGTCAAGGCTTAATATTGGAGATGAGCAGACGCTGTGGCATTAACACCAGAGGTATTTGCGTGCAACCAAACACAACTTTGATATAGAGTTGAAATGCTGTGTAGTTACCCTTAATCCATAGACTGATGGACCACCCACTTGAGTGCTCTCTGCATTCAAAATTCCAACCCTGTATACAGCAGTGCTGTGCAGAGTGGTCCGTGGGGAGACGGGAGACTCCTTTTTCTTTTTTACTTTTGTTTGAAAGCCTCGAATCACTTGATTCACGTCCCCTCAAGGCCTCAACCTTCCTCTGGGACATTTTAAAGCTACCAATCTGTACTAGTTACCAAGCATTGCTATTAGCAATTGGTATCCCTTGCGTATGGTGATTGAAAATCTTTCATTCCGACAAAGCATGGGAGAATCTGGAAATGTTTGGATTTGACACTTGACGATAACAAGAGCAAGTTTTCAGACAAAACTTGTATCAAGCTCATGATTTCTATATATTTCCTTGGTACCCCAAAAATGGGAATTACAAAATTTGGATCCAGAGCCTCACCTGGTTAGTAGTTGAAACCAAGGAGAACGAATAATAATTAATTACAGCAAGCTTGTGATGACAACAAACAAACAAGAAACCATGTAATTGGAAAGATGATGAAAGAAATGAAGAGTACTATATTCCACCCAAGGTCCCTAGTTGAGACTGCTTTAAGATTTCTCTATTCCAACCGAGCCAACGTGGTGCAATGAAGAAACTCATGAAGTAGAATTGACATATTTAGTATATACAAACACCATTTATTGTGCTTGGAGTTGTCCGAACTTTTGCTTCTCTTCATGCAACTCTTTAACAACAGAATCAAGCTCTGGAAATGCTGATAAGAGCAACAACTCAATAAGGTCCAATGCTAGTTGCTTCAAACACACAGATGACTGCAGAATAAAAGAGCAGACAAACCATCAGAGAAACATCAAACAACAAGCAATGACAAGAGACAAAATGGTGGCGTGTTACTTTACAATTAGGGACATTAGCTGACAATGTGATACTTGTACATATATATAAAGTCACTGCTAGATGAAGCCATGAAAGGTAGCAGTAGCAATACAGAAAAAGGGAGGAGGAACTTTTAACAAAAAGCACTTTAGTCAAAAGAGTTGCCATCCCTGCCAGCCAACTCTATCTATTACGATAATTGATTGATCAAGCTATAAAAAAATAATCCACAGAAAAATCAAGATGCAATTTTGGACATTCAAGTTCCTTTGTTGCTTACCCTATCACCCCGTCTGGTGTTTTGAAAGTAATTAAATGAAATTATGCAATCAGAAGTTCAGTAGATTCTCATCCTCTACTATGACAAAACTAAGAGTAATACAAATTTGCCAGGTTTATGTTATCAATAGGTAGGAACCGATTTCAAAAAATAAAAGAAAAAAAACACGAATGAGAAGTGAAAACTCAAGTGGCATATCGAGAAGCAGCATCTTCCTTCTAAGGAGTTCCACTAAAATTAAAAGATATTACATAAGAAACCTGATAGCAGAAAAAATAGAACAGTAAGACCTAGAAGTTACATTTTTCAACAGAAAAGTACCTGAAGAAAAAAATAGAGATCCTTTGCACAACGTTCATATTCCTTACGACCAAAAAGACCTACGAGAGCAGCTGGTGCATTATCTGGAGGCAAGGAAAAGAAACTTGAAAACTTAGCAATAAAAGGAGAGGTTGGAATCTTCAAAGAATTACAACAAGAATTTGAACGCAACAAAGTACCAACAGGGAAACCAAAATAAAATGAAAATAGGACAGATCAGAAATAGAAGAATAAGTAACCACATTTTAAGGGTAAGCTGTCAATAAAACCTATATGCAAGAACATAATGGATAAACATAACCAAAAAGGGAAAGCCATAATAATAACATGTTACTGATTGTTGAAGGATTTTTTTTTTTAAATCCAAATAATATTTAAATAATTTATAACCCAACTAAGTAGGTTGGCTAGTCTGCTAGCTAATCATTAAAACTAAAAAAACAGGTGTCCCGTATAGGAGTTCCCTCTCTTTAAGTGGGAGGGACAGGTGTCCTTCACCTAGGGGAGGGGGTAGTTATGCAACTACCCACTCCCTATTTAAGCTCCTTAAGGGGAAGCTAGAGGCTCTGCCCTCTTTGGAGAAAATTGTTTCTCAAGAGATTCTTAAGAAAAGCCAAGAAAGAGAGAAGAAAAAAGTTCTCAAAGGAAGACAGGGAAGGAAAAGAAATCTCACTAATACAAGTAAGAAAAGGAAAGTCCTCTCTGTGAATACTTCCTATATATGTCTTCTGCTATGCATCCTTCTTCCTCTCTCTTTTATTTTTACTTTTAAGAAAAGAAATAGAGGGAAATAAACCATCTACAACCGGGTGCTTTTACTTGGTTGGTTATGGTCCCTCTATCAAAACAAGTTAGGGATTAAACCATCTACAGTTTAATTCCTAAGGGCTGATTATGGTTCTCTTCAAATGGAAATGAAGAAAATGAGGGATAAAAACCATCTACAATCAACTTGATTGACTACGGTTCCCTTCTTGTATACAAAATCCAGAGGATTAAGGCTGTCTACAGTCAGAATTTCATCTGATTGACTACAACTTATTGTGAAGGAACGAGTGAGAAGGAAATCTTCTTTGTATCAAAAAGAAAAGAAAGAGAGAAATGTATTGTTGTAGAGTTTCTCGATTGTATTTCTTTTTTTTTTCTTCTCATTCTTGTACATAAATGCAAATGAAAATTTATTTTTTAAAGTACTTTATTGCTCTTTTCTTTTGTTCTATGCATTCATTTCTCTAAGTCAGAATAAAAAATTGTTCTCTACTTTCTTGTGGAGATGTAATTAAGGCAAACAGATCATATGATTTCCTGAATGGCTACCCAAAACAATACAAACTCAATCACTTGATTGAGTGAATTATGATGCATGAGAATTTATTAAAATTTTCACACCAACGCTAATCAAATAAATAATATTAATTAATAGCAATAACAATAATAACAATGTCATCATTAAAATACAGGTAAACAGTAGGAAACTATGTAGGACCACTGACTTACCAATCATTAGTTCATAAACAAATTTTTGACGTCGAGCAGCTTGTTGCTCTTGTTCATCTTCCTGCAAGCTATTCTCCTTCCCATGTAATTGCTGAGTATTCTCTTTCTTAGGTGAAGATATATGCGTAGGCTGACCAGCATGATGTGAATCCTGAGATTGTACTACAGATTGTTGTGGCCTTTGTCGCTTTGGATGTTTGGTTATGAAAATTCCATCAGGCCAAAGAATCTATCCAAGTGATAAAAAAGCTAGGTTAGATCATGCATCATATAAAGTGTCATTACCCTATGTTGTTGGTCCCAACTATCCAGGGTCTTGGGAGGGGTGGACTAGATATGAATCAACCCTTAGACTTTTTTTTTTTTACAAGTTGCCACTCTTAAGACTCAAATCTCCTTAGAATATCAGCCTGAATTTTACCATTGGACCAAGCAGTGGTCCCTCTGCATGCATCATATCAAAAATAGAAAACAATATACAGGTTCGAGTTTACTATTGAGTCTAGTATTCACAGGCCCACAGCAGAACCCAGGCAACTAAAATATGTGCTGGGAAAGGAACTCAAACATGGATACTGAACTCCTACCATATTCTTAGCAAAACAAGAAACATATATTTTTAAATGCAAACTCAATAATATGACAGTCTATGATGTGCCCAAGTATCATAAACATTTATTCACTTTTTGTTAAGGAAAAGAAAAAAACAACCATGCAAAGGTGTATGGATACTGGGGCACAATAACTACAAGAAAAAAGTTCATATAACTTTTACTCTCTCATTTAAGCACGCCCTTTTCTTTTGTTTTTTGGATTGGTTAAGCATGCCACTGTTACATGGGCTATTTAATTATTCTTTCTGGATATCAATGGTTATTATAGTACATTTCAGACTTTCTAGTACAGTATTATGCTTATTTTAGCACTTCTCTTTGGAACTTCAAATCATTGAATGCAAATTAAACATTCAATGGAGAAGATCGAGTATCATCATCATCATCATCATCATCATTTAAGCAGATTATCAGAAAAAAATCATCATCATTTAAGCCTTGTCCCAACTATATGGGGTCAGGTTGGCTATATGAACCCGGTTTCACCATTTCGTTCTGTTCAGAGCTACCTTTGCTCACTTGACACTACACTCGAGTTAAGGTGTAGTGTGTCACTTCCAAGGGAAGGCCTAACATGAACATGTAAAAACAAATTAAGATTCATGACCACTAGAGCTTGGCAAAAGTTTAAGTGCTGTCTTCCAACCTGATGCAACCATCCTCCTTTATCCAAGCTTGGGACTGGCAGCGTAAGACATGCTCACATATGCCACCTTGGGTTATTGTTTCCCAAATCCATTGGAAGTTTCAATACTAAGCTTTCTCAAGAAGAAGGACCATTTTGATCACATGGAAACAATTATGGGCTTAAATTTGGCCCATTCATGAGGTTAGTTAGAGGAACTTGTGTGGCCATTTTTATCTCCAAAACAATTTTCTATGTCAAATATTCCTTGGTTATTTAACCTTCGTTGCTAAACAACCCAACTATATAACCTTCAAACCTGATTGGAGAAGACCATGTATGTCATAGATAATTCAAGGTACTAGGAAAATGAAGATGTTGATAGTTCTTTCAGGGAGAAATGAGAAGGAAGAGGCAATTGATTTATTTATTTCCATACAAGAATTTGGAAATGAAACTTTTGATTCTACCAAAAAAAGAAAATCAATTTATACAAAAATAATTCATGGACCAATTTAAACAAAGACAATATTTAAAATCCAATTTATCTCTAATTGTAACTTTAATAATATCCATGGGGATGTGGACTGGAAAATTGAACAGGTAGCCAACCCAAGGGATCCCTTATGGAGCAATTTAAATTATCCACATAATTCCTCCAGACAGCAAAATATGGCAAGTCATGTAGGGGGATCTCCTTGACCTCTCTAGCAAATAGAAAGAAAGGTAACCTAGAGGCCTGTACAAGGGTGCTTTACTGTGTCAAATACCTTGGTGTAAATTCCATATCTTTTTTGATAAATAACTTAAATTTTATTAACAAACTTAATGTAACATCTTTACAAGCATCTCTTAGAGAGGCACGAGGTGCTACCTCTCCAATCAATAGAACACAGATTACAATTATGCCCAGAATGAAAATGACTTATTCACCCCTTGCTTAGTCAAAGCATCTGCCATCCCATTTTCTGATCTCCTCACCCATTGTATCCTCAAATTCATATTCCTGGTAAGCCATTTAAATTTTTTCATTTCACTCTTATAGCACCAAATTATGGATTCTGAATTCTTTAATCACTCCACTTTTGAATCCCCTTCGATCACCACATTTGCCAAGTTTAGCTCGCTAGTGATCTGCACCCCTTATATTACACTATAGATCCGATCCTATTTGGTCGAATTCGGATCACCTCCTATCCGATCCAAGAAGATCCAATCCGATGTGTTATATATTTATAAATATAAATATATATAATACATATATATATATGTTATTTATTCATTTATAAATATATTATTTATATTGTATTTTTATAAATTTGTTATATTATTTATTTTTTATAAAAAACATGTATATATATGACGAAAATAATTAAAAAATACTGGTATTTTTTGTTTTTTCTTTATTTAAATTGGTATATTTTATTTTTTTCTTTTAATAATTTACTAATTTTAAAGAAAACAAGTCAGATCAAATCAGATCTGAAGATCCAATAGGATTCAAATTCAGATCAAGTCCTATCAGATCCGATCGGGTCTTTGGATCAGATCAGATTGAACATGACCAGTGTCGGATCATATTCAAATATACCCTGATTTGAATTCGATCCGATCTGTTTGCATCCCTAATTACAACAAGCAATTCCGCTTTGAGGGAGTCACCCATACCTGTAGGGCCAGAAAAGAGTGCTATAAGTTTACCTTATCCATCTCTCAAAACCTCTCCTACTCCATAAGGGTCTAGGTTACCTCGGCTGCTCCCACCGAAGTTTAATTTAACAAAACTTTCAATTGGTGGTACCCAAACAATCTCCACTCTATCCTTTCTATTAGAACTTTTAGCTACTGCTTCCCAATTCCTCCAAATATCATCAAAAGAAAATTGGTAAAACAACTCCAAGGTCTTGGTCCAATGGATCACCCTAACCATCACACAATTCATGATTTCTTCCTTACTTCTCTCCTTCTCTAAGAAGATGCTCGCATTCCTCTCTTCCCAAATGGTCCAAATCAAGGTTGCTCTGATACATCTCCATATTGTCCTTCCCTTCTTCTTTGGCCAAGTAAACAGAGAAGGATCAAATAGCATATTAACCTCCATTGGTAAAGTCCACCCGCACACAAACAAAGAAAGAAAAACAAAGCCAAATAGTTGCAACAAAGGGATAGGAAATCAGTAAATGAAAGCAACTCTCATTACTGGATTTGCATAAGACACACCAATTAGGGAGGTCTGGATACGCTTATCGGGTTTACTGGGGGTCCAAGCACAAGAAAATATACCCTTAGGGCAGGGGCCCCAAATACGCTTATCAGGTTTATTATGGTCCAAGCAAATATTTTGAAGGATTTATAGGAGATCCATACAAGCCAAAAGTTCATTGTCCCTGAGGCCTCTGCGGAAACCAAAGTCCCAACTAAGACCCACAGGATGTAATGGAGGAACAATAAATCTTGATACAGACTCACTTTTGTACAATGAAACCAAGTATAAGAAAAAGGCTCCTTTAGCAGGCAAGAGCCAACCCAAGTATCCTCCCAAAATTTAACAGAATCCCCAAAGCAAACATCATACATAATGAAATGAAAAACCTAAGGCAGAACACAATGAATAGCTTTCCAAGGCGAGGCCAGACCAAACCATAAACCGTATTAAACCGGATTATTAATAATATATTTATTAATGTATATAATATATATAATATATATAATACATATGTTTAAACATATGTATCTATGTATGTATGTATGTGTATATATATTCATTTAACATTTTTTATCAATAACTCTGAAATGATTTCTTAATTAGAAAAATATGGATACAACAAGAAGTTGTGAAAGAAACCAGCTTTAGTAAGCTGACCCAAAGGAGTTGTTTATGTTTGGCAAGCTTTCTCCAAGTACAACTTACTCTGTTTTTTTTTAAGAGGTAATGTAAATCTTATTCATGATGAAGATAAACATGCAAGAAAAGGGGGAGACCAAAGATCAGTTCACCCTCTAAGGATCTGATCATAGATCCCACAGATTGACTGAATTAAGCATCACGAACAAGTTCTGATTACAAAACACAGGGATGGTAGAAAGCCAAGAGGCAAGTTTGGCTACAATACACTGAATCAGCATCTCTGGCTCTTTCTTCTCTTTTCTAAAAATCCTGTCATCTCTCAGACCATATAGTGCTGATAACTGCAGCTGGAATGACACTCCAAATGTATTTTCCTTTCTTTGATAAGCCCAGCAGGTACCAACACTTGAGCAAATCCTTCACTGTGCCCGGCATTACCCAACTAACAACACCAACAGTATTAAGGAAGTGAAACCAGATTCTCCAAGCAATCGTGCAATGCATGAAGAGATGGTCAATGGCCCTCTTCAAGACCACAGGTTCCACAGCTAAGGTCGTCTAAACTAAGACCTCTTTTTGCCAGATTGCTTTTTGTTAGACATTTCCCTAGTGCAGAAGCCCACAAGCCCACAGCAAGAAGTTGATTTTGGACGAAGGTTAAGGATTCCAGATTTGTTTATATGGGAAGTCAGTTGCCCTTCTAACAGTCATACTCTCAGCAAAAGATCTGACCATGAACTTTCCATCAGCGGTCCAAAATCCAAATCTAGATCCACTTGTCTTCTGAATGGGGCTGAAAGGAAAATGCATTAAGGCAACTCAGCAAATTTACAACATCATCCACTTCCCAATCATGGAAACCTCTTCTGAATGTAGGCTTCCACACCACTTCACCCTGGATTAGCTCGAAGGAGTCTGCCACCATTGCCTCTTTATCCTTAGCCACTGAGAATAGCCGAGGAAATTTCTCTTCCAAAGATGCCTCATCAAGCCATTTGTCCCTCCAAAAGCGGATTCTTTCCCCATCTCCTAACTTGAAGCCCACTCCTTTTAGGACATTAGGAAGAGTTTTCATTATAGTTTTCCAAAAAGAACATCCATAGGAAGGCAAATTGATAGCAGTCATCCATCCCCCTGGCTGTAGACCATATTTAGATGCAATGAGATTTCTCCACCAACCATTTTCTTCCACTCCAAATCCCCATATCAACTTTCCCAATAAGGTTGTGTTGAATATTTTTATTCTTCTCAGACCTAAACCACCTGAATACCTTGGAGTGCAAATCTGATCCCAAGCTATCACGTGAATCTTTTTTCATCTTCCCACCCTTCCCATAAGAAGTCCCTTTGCACCTTTTCTATTCTCTTAGCTATTGAGCTAGGTGTGGGGAAGAGAGACAAAAAGTAAGTGGGCAGATTTGCAAGAGTGCTTTTGATCAATGTTACCTTTCCCCCTTTTGATAAGTACTTTGCTTTCCAAGAAGCAAGTTTCTTCTCTAGTCTTTCCAACACTGGCTCCCAAATTGCTGAAGAAGAGCACTTTGCACCCAACAGAAGACCAAGATAGGTAGTTGGGAGCCTGTCCACTTTACAACCCAGAGCTCCAGCCCACACAACTAAGTCCTAAACTCTGCCCACCGGAATCAGAGAGGATTTTCCTAGGTTCAGCTTTAGACTTGTTACCACTTCAAACCAAGCAAAGATTCCCACAAGTGTTTCTAACTAAGAGAAAGAAGCACCAATGAAACAGCGTGTCATCCGCAAAATGGAGAACATTAACCTTTTCACCCCCCCCCCCCCGGAACAATTTCAAAACCCTCACAAAGACCAGCCTGTCCTGCCCGATTGATGAATTGGATCAGGACCTCCATTACACAAAGGAAGAGAAGAGGTGACAAGGGCTCTCCTTGGTAAATGCCTCTTGAGCTTTTGAAGAAACCAAAGGTATTTCCATTAATTATAACAGAAAATTTTGGCGATGAGAAACATACCTTCATCCACATTCTCCATTTCTGACTGAAGTTCATTTTTTCAAGAACGAAATTTAGGCACCTCCAATAAACATAGTCATAGGCTTTTTTTAGGATCCACTTTACAAAGGATTCCTAGTTTTCCTGCCCTCATCCTTGAACCAATCACTTCATTAGCAATTAAAGCACTGTCCAGTATTTGTTTTCCCCCGATAAAAGCACATTGGTTTCTTAAATTACACATCCTAGATTCTTTTCTAATCTCTCAGCCAGCACTTTTGCAGGAAGCTTGTAGAAGCTATTCAGGCTTATCGGCCTGAAATCTTTGATATTTGTTGCCCTTTCCACCTTTGGGATTAAAGTAATGAAAGTGGCATTCAAGCTTCTGAACAAAGAAGCAGAATCATGAAATTCTTGAAAGGCCTTTAGGATATCCTTTTGATAACATTCCAGCACTTCTTGTATAAGAGATTGGTTAATCCATCTGGTCCCAAAGATTTATCCAAATCCATTTTCTTAATTGCATCCCAAATTTCTTCTTCCGAGAAAGGTTTATCCAAATCCTCCTTTTGAGTTTCACTTAAAGTTTTAAACTGAACCCCTTCTGGCAGAGGCCATCTCTTCCAAGGTTCCAAGAACAGAGTTTTGTAGAAGCTTGTGGCAATGGTTTGAATTCCATTTGGTTGTTCCCCTATTTGACCATCAAACTCCAGCCTATCAATATTATTTGCTTTGCAGCGTGCATTTGCCATCCTATGAAAAAATTTGGAGTTCTTGTCCCTTGCTTTTAACCACTTCACTTTTGCTTTCTACCACCAGATTATTTCATCCTTGTATGCTAGTTTATCAAAGATGATCTTTGCTTCGTCTCTCTGTCTTCTCTCTTCTTCAGAAAGCTGTCTCTGTTCTTCTATTCTATCCACCTCCTTGATCAGCTCCAGGCACTCTAACTTATTTTGCTTGGTTAAAGCAGCTTTTCCTTTCCTCCATTTTTTATGACAGCCTTAATTGCCCCTAGTTTTTTGGCCAGCACATAAGAGCGTGTGCCCTCCACATGAATATCATCCCATTTCTCTGCAATTAGATTCCTCAGCTCCTCCTCTTCAAGCCAGCTATTGTCAAGTCTGAAAGGTGCATGTTTATTGATTTGTCTGCAAGAAATCAGCTGAATAGGGGCAGTGGTCTGACAATGGATGCGGTAATACTTCTTGCTTTACCAGGAAAATTGTCCTCCCAATCAGCTGAGATTAAGAATCTATCAAGCTTCACCAGAACTGGGTCCTTTTGACTATTGGACCAAGTAAGTTTTGCACCTGAGAGAGGTAAATCTATCAGCTCAAAACAGTTTATGAACTTGAAAAGTCCCGCATTGCTCTTGTTCTACATTGAAGTCGAATTTCCATGGCAAACAAGCGAAGTCGAATTTCCTCTCATCTCAACCAGCTCCTCCCAGAAAAATTGTCTTTCCCTATCAGTAAGTACAACTTACATTGTTACACACAAAGCCTTTCCTCCTTGATCTTCTCAAATCCTCCACACATTCATTAGTGTAAATTCCATATCCAACACCTTATCCAGCCATGTCCTTGTTGTGTCGGGGTAATATAATTATGTGCATGCATACATATGCACATGCATGCATAAATACACACATATCATTTTTTTTGAAGAATAAGGAAAAATTTTCATTAAAAAGAAAATGATAAATACATACATATCATATTTATCTATGTTTGTGTTAATATATAGAGAGAGGAATTTGCTAGTCAAGTCATTTAATGAATTCTAACTATCCAGAAATTCTCCACATGATGATGTTGTTTGAAGCCTAAAAGGACCAACCATATTTGCCATACATTGGACAACTATTATCATATAGAGAAAGGCCAATACAGTGTAGGGTATAGCATTAATTTTTGATTGGGAGATTGAACTGGTGGATAAACCAAGGATTTTCCGATTAGTTAATGGTTCAGATTAGCTACATCATCCCTCCATGTGGCATTAGGTTGTGTGTGGAACTCTACTTAAGCCAATATGTAGGTATGCATGATCAATGCAAGCTCACAAGACATTATGTCAATCTCCTTTAATTAATTAAAAATGGCCCAACAAATCACCTGTTCAAGCCGATTGATTACTGAAGCAATTATAGATCCCTTCCGCAGAAGCTGGATTTTCTCAATCAGCCAGTCATCAAAAGCATCACCCATTCCCAATTGCAACACCTGTTTAGCTACCCAAAACGCCTGCCGCCTGAAAGGCAAATGAAAAATACTGTCCTGAAGAATCTATTGACTTGATATGACTATGATGGTAATTCTAAAGACAAAAATTAAAACATTCTATTGAAGATAGAACTTTTTACTTGTAATACTATACAGTATACCTGATCCACCCACCATCATGCAGCTGAAAAATAACATCAACTAAATCTAGTATTGGAACACTCAGATTTGGTGGCACCCACTGCATTGATCAAAGAGAAAAACGAATCTATGAAGAGAATGAGCATGATAGGAGTATAACATTGATGGAGAAGCAGACAAGCATGCAAAACTGTGAGGAATGACAAGCCCCACACTCATCAGGAGATAATAACAAAGACTGTTATGTATCAGACATACAAAGTTACTGAAATAATGAGAATTGAACTGAAGTGGGATAGAAACAATTTATATACCTCAGTGGGAATAGTTGGGTCCATAGCGACATCAAGAAATGACTCAGATGTCGCTTGTGGACCATCATTTCCTCTTTCTTTTGCAACCTTCCCAGATGTTCTGATGGAAGGAGAATTCTTCTGTGCTGTACCATCTGAATCACTTCCTGAATCCACCAATGTATTTTCATATTCTTTACCAGAACTTCCTCTCATTTTCAATCTTGAATTATCTTCTAAAAGGTTCTGCTTCATCTGCATTGCAGTTCCCTTTCTTTGAGTGCTTAGCTTCTGTTCTATAGAGGAAATGGGATCATGAAGAGAATCAACAGTATTCTGAACCTTTGCACACTTTTCATATGGCTTATCATCAAGATCAACTAAGAAGTTCAATGTCAAAAGAAAAAGGATATATATTAATAAAAATTAAAAGGTTAGTGCATGTAGAAGGAAAGAGAAGTATATAAAACACTGGGTATAAGCATGCCCCACCTGACAGTGTTTGAATGATTGAAAGGGAATTTGAGAATGCATATGTCTGCACCATAAAGTACATAGTAGTAAGGAGCAGAATCCAAAACAGAGATGATAAGTATATAGATAGATAGATATAGATATACATTTTTGTGTGTGTGTGTGGGGGGGTTGGGGTTTATCAAACCTGTGAATCAACACTAAGGAAATCCCAAACTTCTATTGAACCCGATATGGTTGGCAGCTCTAGTAGCTTCTGAAAAAGAGCAACACATGGAGTTATTGAAGCATACATAGCATATGATTGTAGGAATATTGCAGCTCAAGGAAGAGAACAAAATTGTATAATGTTATGTCAATTAGAAAAATAAAATAAAATACAAGCTGCAATCAAATCCCATTCCTAGTGTTTGGGTAGGAAATATTGAGATAGCTGATCCCAATCCCTACTTATGAGAACACAAGAGAATGCATAATCTATCAACCTATTTAGATCAAACTTAAACAAAGTATCAATTGATACAATTTTCTGGCACTGAACAGAGCAGAATGGAGAACAGGATTCATGTAGCCAACCCCATACAGTTGAGATAAAGCTTAGTTCAGTTGAGATTACTTGTATATCCCATAGATACATTCTGAAACATAGAATTAAACAATACTAAGCTAGAATTATTGTACTAACGCAATGGAATAACAAAAGAGGAAAACTACAAGAAAAACCTTTAAATATTTGTCAAGCAATTTGCACCGTTCTTGAACAACAGGAACTTCTAATCCTGATGACAGAAAATGTTTGGGTGGCAAGCTAAGATTATACTGAGGAAATTCTTTAAGACGCCGATTTAGCTCCTCAAAATGGCGGAACCTAATTGAAAGAGAGACATATTATGAGTTACAGAAGGTAGGGTTAATAAATCAGAGAAAATGAATTCTTGAGCACCTTCTTTTAATTGACCAACTATTATTATTTGCATCTGTAACAGATATGGAGTACACAGCAAATGTTCCAGAACCACTCTTCACAATATTTGCACCCAGTACCTGCAATATGAAGTTACATTCTCCAGGTAAATCTCTATGGCAGGGCATGTTTGAACAAATTGCAAATATGGAGCTAGATGACTACCTCACATCTCAACTTTAAAAATGAATCTGCCAACACAGAAGAACTCTTTGGGGGGTTAATAGATGAATTGCAAGCTTCAGATATAGATGGTGCAGATGAAGAAGCAGCTGCTCCACTATGTATTCTACCCCAGCTTTCTATATCGAGATCATCACTAGATTCCTCATCTTTCACATCTCCCTTTGAAGCATTTAGTATATCCTGCCCATCTCCCAACAAGAAGGTGGTTCTTTCAACCTCTTGCCACATGTTCACCTTCTTACTGCTTAACCGAGACCTTTTCCTGCCTGAATGAGTTCTAGATATTCTCTGGTAGCGGACATGCCCTTTACCAGTCTTTCTCCCTATATGCCCTTCAGAACTCTCAAGAGGATGGTGTATATAAGAAGCTGAAGCATTTCTGTTATTTTTACTATCCCAAACCTTAGTCACAGGTGAATCAAGGCCTGTCACGTTGCTGCTTTCATCATCATCATCAGTTTGGTAAGAACTGCCACTTCCTGATTCAATCTCCTCCAAATGCATGGAATCATGGTCATCCTTTTTTTGATGTGATGAAGCTGGAGTGGGAAGTAAGCTGTTTGCAACACTATGGGCATGCAAGTTTCCTTTCATGGATTCACCATCACGTCCTGGGGAAATGGTTGTCCTCTCAGAAAAGCCAGGCTTCCCTATCCCATCCTTGTGCTTTGATGACACATTTGAGTGATCCAAAGAATTAAAATTCCTTGATGATGGATTTTCTGAAACTTGTATAACAGACTGACCTGCAGTTTCCTTTCTTTTGTAGTTTCTCCCTTTTGTCCACATATTTTCAAAATGCTCTGGAGCAAGAGCTTGAGTCTTTCTGCGGGAAATTATATCCAACATATCACCCCATTCTCCTGATCGATGCCATTGGGTGTCCTTCATGTCTTTTCTTTGGGAACTTGAAGGTAAAGAAGTCCAGGAACGGGAAGATCGAGCATCAAGGGAAAGCAAAGGATCCTTTGACACAGATTCTTCATTAACATTTTCTTTCACAGGTTCACCTGAGGTCACCCCAGAATGATCATGTTTTAATTGCACAAGTTCAACACCTGTGACAGACTGATCAAGGAACCCAGAAAAATGATCAGATCGGGTCCTTGAAGATCCCTTTGCCTTAGATTCAGATGCCTCTTGTGCTGATGCTGAAACTCCTTTATTATCCTTATTGGTACGAGAAAGAATAAAACATTCAATCCTTTCATTAATAAACCTGCCATGAAAGATAAAGAAGAAAATTAGGTAAAGAAAAGGAGTACAAGGAAAGCACAAGCAAAACACAAACAACAAATACCTAGGTGTAGCTAAATTCAAGACTGGCCGCATCACTGCACAAGCAAGAAGCTCCCTGACAATATAACGGAAGAAGGAGCAGTGCAGATCTTCAGGTTTGAAAGTAAAAGAGATAAGTCCATCCATCAAATGCTGCAAAACCTGTGTGATACAAAATAAATAAAAATCACTATTATAGAGTTCATCAAAAGAAGATGAACTTCATTATTCTAATAAATTTAGAGATTTTATTTTTTTTAGGCATTATTGGGTGTATATGTAAACTGATTGCATAGCCGGTAATGATTTGAAAAGTGAACAACCCTGTGCTCAGCATCAGCAGAAAATAAAGCAGGATGCAATTTGTTCTCAGCAGCCAGAACTAGCTTTAGTTCCTCATCCCTGTGATCAATAGTTAGCTTTTCCCCTTGTTGTGCAACTATCTTGACTTGACATACACGAAAATGTTCTAAATGAGTGGAAATAAGATTGACAACATCCCTGCATCATCCCAGACTCAATTAAATCCTTATAGACACATTTTTGAGTAGAGGAAGACAACAAATGACAACTCTGAAACTAAAACCTGGTCAGAAGATCAATAAGATTTATTTCTCTCACACGACATGCAACTTCTCCAAGGACATCATTCATGATCTGCACCAGCTCCTCTGGGCCATCCCTATCAGGTGTCAAGCGGGAGTACCAGAGATCGGTCACCCACTCAGAAACTAGATGTCTGGTGAATTGATCTATTGCAGCCTCAACAACAGGGGAGCTCACCTTCCTTCTCCAATTAGATGTCTCATGAACAACCTTGTAACCTTGAAGAGATTTCTTTTGAGAAATTTGGTCTGCCAAGGGTGTTTTGCTGTTGTATGTTGCAGTTCTTCTTCTTGTCTCAAGATCTAGCGATATGTAACGGAGAAGGACAATCAAGGAGGCAGCAGCAGGCAAATTTAGCCAAACAGAAGAGCTTGTCACTGGAAATGAGATAACAATGGTGAGATACAAGCCAGGGCTAGAAAACATCAGGAGATTTAACATTCATCAGTGGATAATGCTGGAAGCATAACCACAAGAGGAAAAAGAACAAGAAGGTAATGAGTTCTTAATGGATAATTGCATTTAGATGGCCCTAATTGAAGAATATAATTTGAGCTGTCAACCATAAAGTAGGATAAGACAGATGATAATAGCAACTTAACTAAAATAGGAAGCTTCAACTAGCATTAACCATCAAGTTTCAGTACTGTGTCTCAACATTTTCTTATTCCCTTGAAATATTAAGTTTCTAATGATGAATAATGCATAGCAAGGATGGAAAACAATACATAATTTCCTCTATTTACTCAAATGCTGAAAAGTGTTGTCAGCATTTGAGTGTGCTCAGTGCTATTTAGGGAAAGTGTTGTCAACTCATCAATGATGCATGACATAGTTCAAACCTAATCGAATGCCCACAATGGTATTAAAATGACTCCGCAAAGTAATTTTGCTTGTGAATAATGTGTCCATTCATTTGTTTCACATATATTGCAAACTTTTCCAAGAAATAGGTCAAATCAACAGAATTTCTTTTTAAACTGAACAGAACAGAATGGTGAAACAGAATTCATGTAGCCAACTCCATAAGTTGGGACAAGGCTTACAATTTACTTTGATGATTGATATTCATTATTACAAAACTATAAAGTGCATGTCCATAATATGTTTGCTGGAACAAGCAGAAAAGATTGCTTGATCAGAATTGTGCCTAGAAACTAAAAAATAAAAGTAAAGAAAACACAGAAAAACGCACACAACAATGGCATACACACCAAATCAATCCATTTGGAGTGGGAGCAGGATGCTATTTTCTAATTAGAAACAAGGAAAACATATAATACAAAGAAATACATCAAAACTATCTGGGAGAATGGGGAAAATATATCAATGATGAAAACCAGAAAGCTCAAAATTTTGGTTATTGTGATATTACAAGTTATTCAAGATACATTTTAGTTCTTTTGATTCCTTTGAAGATGGTTCAGAAGCATTGATACTTCACCCCAGACTTTGTTATCTAATTTGATTACTGTCAGCATCTAAATTGAACAATGACTATTATAAATTTATAATTAAATCTAAGTTTCTTTATAATCCTTTAAGGGAAAGATCTAGAAGGTCTAAAATCTTTCTCCATCAATAATCTAATACCTTTGAGTGAATGCCTGTACCACATACAATGATAAAAATAAAGGCCAATTCAGATAATTAAGGATAGATATAAAAGTGAGTGAAATGAGCAGTATGGTTGTTGCAGGTAAGGATTATTGGGTCTTGTCCACTAACTCCAAAATGATCTAATCCTATTTCATTTTTTTCAACATTCTTGATGAAAAATGTTTTACATGCACTGAAGTTTGAAGTTGCTGTATACATGAAAATTAACAAATATTAGATGCAGCAATGCAGACCAAAAAAATTTGAAAGCCATACTTCATGTGTACAACTTGTCACACCAGCATGCCATTCATCAATTAAGGAGCTCACGTCCCACTTAATTGCTCATTCACTAAAAGACAAACCTATATGCAATTCAGTTTAGCTAAATCAGCTGTATTAGATGGTCCTTAGCTTCATAAGCAAATATCATTTCAGATGCCTCCCAAGGTCAGCTAGCTCAGAAATCTGTCTTGCCATTAATGAGGATACGAGGACTCAGCTGTAGTGGGAACATGGGAATTGTATGGATTTTACAGTTTAAAAAATCCATGCATTTTGAACCATAAAGAACTTGACAAAGTCAAATCTTATGCGAAGGTAAAGATTAGAAATGTTGATGCCTGCCCCACGGACTTTGAAAAAAAAAAGAGTAGAATGTCAGCAAAAACACAACAGATGGCATTTTACTACATTGCTCAACCATAAGATGGCCTAATTCAACAAAGTAAAAAAAATCAAAGCTTCTATGTTCACTATACTTCCTGTAGCTATCTAGGAAACTGGGAAAGAAGAGAAATATCTTTTTATCAGTAAAGAAGAATAAATTTTATTAATCTGAACAAGCAGATTACATCAGCGGGAAATTACAGACAGAGCTACAAGAAAAATTACAAAATGGCCCAGAAAAGATGCTGTCTGTAAACTACTTGTTTTGCTAGTGCATCCACCATTTGCAGTCCTTCTGATCCAAGTGAAAGTGGCATTAAGCTCCCTTGCTAAACTTTCAATCTCTCACAAGGAGTGTCTATAAATCCAGGGGGCACTACCTCTGAAATTTGACAAAGAAATCACCAGTTTTTAATCTCCTTCAACCTCCAAGTCTTTAATATCTGCTTGTTTGGCTAGTTTTAACCCCTGCAGAAGTGCATGAAGCTCAGCCTTTATTGAGTCTCCAACCCCTATAGGCCCTGAATACATAGCCAGCACTTTATTTGCAGAATCTCTGAACACACCCCCTACTCCTGCCAATCCCGGGTTTCCTATGGAACTGCCATCAAAATTCAGCTTTATCTCATTTGGAGCCGGAGGCTTCCATTCCATCCCTATCTTTTCTTTCTTCTTAGTTGAAAAGGCCACTTCTTTCCAAGCACGCAAGATATCATCCACTAAGAAGCTTTGGAACAGCTCAAGTGTTTTCACCCAATGAACAACTTTTATCTTTATAGTTTCCACCAGTTCTTCTTCTGGTCTGCACTTTCCATTGAAAATTCTTGCATTCCTTTCCTCCCAAATCATCCACACCACATTGTTACCTAAGAGTTAGTTTGGAATTAGGACTACATTTAACATTAATGTGTACTGCCCGATTGTTACCTAAGCTCTCACTTAATATAAATGAAGGAAGAAAACCAAACACAAAGAAGTCCTTGGCTAATTTGACTGTAGAACCTAAAGGCTCAGGCATTTTACTAGCCTAGAGTAGCTAATTGAGAAATTTCCTTTTTTTAATGTGATGTGTTATCTTGGAAGAAAAACAGTAGAAGAGAAGAAGAAGAAGAAGAAGAAGAAGAAGAAGACAAGTTTGGAGAGCCAAAAGTTGGGCTGGCAGCGCCAGCTATTGTATTTAAAATAAGGCAACCCAAAACATTATAATTATAACAGTGCCCCTGCGGCACTAAATAATAAAACTAATAAGTAATAACAGTTCTAACACCCCCCCCAAGTTGGGACATAGATGTCAATCATGTCCAACTTGTCACGTAAGTCGTTGTGCCACAAGTGATGTAAACCCCTTACAAAAATGTTAGCAAGTTGCTCTTCAGAACTAACATAGGGAATACACACTTCTAACTTCTGAATTTCAATTTTCCAGTCACCAGTAATTACTATGTCATCAACATATACTATCGGGGCTGCAATTTTCCCTTCCCCTCTTTTCACAAATAATGTATGATCTGTCTAGCAGTGTTTGACATCTATCTGGAGGGAGTTGGGATGGCGGCGCCAACTATTGTATTTATACTAAGGTGACCAGAAACATTATAAAAAAAATTTCCCTGTGGCACTAAATAATAAAGCTAATAACAGTTCTAGCATGATGCAAATACTTTGATTGCTTTATTGGTAGAATTCAACCAAGGCATTAACTTAAAAACAGCAATTTTGACTGACCTTCAAAAGGCATCATTAGGGGTAAAAAGACTTCTATTGAGAAATAAGGGTGATATTAAATATAGAAGGAACAACATTGGGATCGTATCCAGTCTACTCCTCCCAAGACCACAGATAGCTGGGACCAACATTGGGTAATGGACTTTTATATCAAATATAGAAGGAAAATGTAATTTATTGTCATTTCCAAGTTCCAACATATGATTGTTGCTCAAGCCTTACATATCCCCTTTGAATCATCCTCCTGAATGTTTCTGTATAAGCTCTACTGTTATAAAATTTTTTTATCAATATGTTCATATGAAGATCAAAATAAACATCTCTAACTGCTCACCCTAGCCAATATAAGCTCTACTATTGTAAATTTTTTTATCAATATGTGCGTATGAAGATCAAGACAAACACCTCTAACTGCTCACCCTAGCCAAGCATAAAAGAAGACTTCAATGGAAACGATAGTGTCATTCTAGATGTAGGAAACTGTGGACCCCACATTGAGAGTATTTGTGTGATACCCTGAGATGTACTTAGATTTAATTGATTAGGATCAGCTTTCCTAGTAGGATAAGGATAAGTTTTATTCTATCTTATCTAGGATTAGTTATTCTATCTTATCTAGGATTAGTTTTATTTTAATCTTATCTTTTATTGCCATGTAAGCATTAAAGTTCTTTTACAATTAGGAAACCATGTATATAAATTAAGGAGTGGGGCGGCTGTTTTAAGCACTCCAACCATTCTCTTCTTTCAAAGCTTCTCCCACAAGTGCTTCTTCTCTATCTCTCTTCTTCTCTTCTCCTTTTCTCCTTCTCTTTTATTTTCTGTTCAAAACCTAAAGAGTCTCTATAGTCTTGTACAACTACTTGGTATCAAAGCCAGGTTTAGGGCTTCTCATGTGAGTTTGATCCAGCCGACCACATGAGAACCGCCTAGAGCTGGAAGAATAGAGAAAGCTCCCTTCGGCTGATTCTTGGAGGTTATCTACAGCAGCAGTCCAAAGATTGGATCAGATCTTTGATAACCAGGAAGAATCAAAGGAAGAGAAGAGGATCAAGTCAGTTCTTGATCAAGACTAGAGGTGGTGATCAAAGTTTCAGAAGAATTCTGGTTCAAGATCGGTTTCCGCTATTCAAGACTGAAGCTGATTATCAAGATCAGAGTTTCTCAGAATTTTCTGGTAAGTTTTCAAGCCTTACCAGAAATCGGCAGCAAGGATCTCTTGATATAAGAGGTACGGTTAAAAAAAAAAAACTTCCTTTCTGCATTTTTTAGGGTTTAAGAGAAAACCCTCAAGTTTCAGGGTTGTTATTGCTTCAGGGAGGTAATCAGATTTGTCTCCTCTCCCTTTATTTTTCTTTGCTCTTTGGAAGATCCAGTAGTTCCT